CAGTGATGCATTTAATTGATTAAGTTCATCTACAACCAATTACCTGTAAGTCAAAATGGTCCCCAATCCAATGCCATCCTAGGCTTACTTTCGGTACACTATTAGCATTATGCATGACATTGTTGCGTCATAATTTCTTCTAGAGAAAATATATCAGTGACAATATATTTTGAATTTGAGTCCAAATAAATAGTTCCGCGTTAAAAAGAAAAGAAATATATAAACAATAATTCATAAATATAATATATTTTGAACTTTTATGGTAACATGGTTATTAAATTCATATCGCATACCTCTTCTTAGAACCTAATAATGACGATTTTTCTTGCATATCATCTCAAAAGTCAAAACTCTTTCCCATCTTTAACATCTAACAATAGATATTAGAGCTACACATTCCTATTCTTGTAAACCCCACCTCATTATTGACAATCAGTAGTTGAGTGTGAAATGTGCCAAATCCCACGTCTGAGAACCATTAGTCCCACGGAGAGATTTATGTTCTTTAAGTCCACTGAAAATGTTGAACATGCCTTCTTCCTAAAAAGAAAAGGGCCACACCAGTGACGAAGTGTTATAAATTCCCCCCCTTGATCTGTGCCTGAGCAACTTCAACATCCACCACCACCCCCCCCCAAAAAAAAAAAAAAAACCCTCTTTCGTTTGGCCGCGCTCCTCTAAATTTCTTCTATTCCCCGCCTCCAAATACAGCATTCAATCCCCTCATTAGCCCCTATCCTGCTGAGCAAACTTCAGAGAAAATATGGGGTCATTGCCTTCTGATTGTTTTGAACGTAGCAAGTTCTTATTTTTTATAGTCTTCTTAGTTGTGAGCCTGAACTGTTTACCAATTAAAGCTAACCAATGCAGAAATAACTCTGTTGCTACCCCAAGAATTCCTGCCTATGATATTCTTTTGTCATTGCAAACACTAGCTCTTGATGGTTACTTCAGTTTGGAAGACAATGAACATGCAGCCAAAGACTTTGGTAACATATATCATTGTCCACCTCTGGCAATTCTGCATCCAAAAGCAGTTTCAGACATCTCACGCACAATAAAGCATATTTTTGAAACGGATTCTACTTCAGAACTAAAGATTGCAGCCAGAGGCCACGGTCACTCTCTTCAAGGTCAGGCACAAGCATATCAAGGCCTAGTTGTGAACATGGAGTCGCTGGAGGGACCGGAAATGACTGTTCATGGTGGAGAATTTCCTTACGTGGATGTTTCGGCCGGTGAGTTATGGATAAACATTCTGCATGAGACCCTTAAGCACGGGCTGGCACCTAAATCTTGGACAGATTATCTTCATCTTACTGTTGGGGGAACTCTATCAAATGCTGGAATAAACGGACAAGCCTTCAGGCATGGACCCCAGATCGATAACATCTTCCAGCTGGAAGTAGTCACAGGTATTATTGATCAAGCAAAATCTATTATCCTTCCCCCACTAAATAGGATTTTATATAGTATGGTTCTGGACAAATCTTGGAGCATATCAGAAATCACATGAGGATATTATTTTAGTAGCTTAATGACAACAGGAACATATTTGAAGTGAGAAACTTCGTTCAACATACTGAGCAAATGTTTTCGCGTGACAATCCCTTTGAACGTTTACCACTAATCTGGTACGCAAAACATATTTGTTGTAGGAAAAGGAGACGTGCTTACCTGCTCAGAGAACCAGAATGCCGACCTTTTTTACGGTGTTCTTGGTGGACTTGGTCAATTTGGAATCATAACCAGGGCTAGAATTTCTCTTGAACCAGCGCCAATGAAGGTAACTGTACATTCATGTTTTCAGATATTAGTACAAATTCACTCCTAGCAAATGTCTTACTTGTGACATGATCATCGACTTTCTGCCAGGTGAAATGGATTAGGGTGTTGTACTCAGAATTCTCAATATTTGCAAGGGATCAAGAGTACTTGATATCGCTAGAAAATACATTTGATTATGTTGAAGGATTCGTAATCATAAACAGAACGGGCATTCTTAATAACTGGAGGTCATCCTTTAATCCCAAAGACCCACTTCAAGCCAGCCAATTCAATTCAGATGGGAGGACCTTCTACAGTCTTGAGGTGGCAAAATACTTCAACCCAGACGAAACTGAAGCCATGAATCAGGTTAGGAATTCTGTAGCTAGGTCGTTAACCTTAGCAAATTGCTAGTAACCAGAGAGTCTTCACTGAGAATTCGGTGGTTCTATCTCATTTATACCTCTTGAAATGCAGGAAGTTGACCGACTGTTATCAGAGCTGAGCTATATTCCATCGACACTTTTCCTATCAGAAGTGTCTTACGTGGATTTCCAGGACAGAGTGCATGCTTCTGAGATGAAGCTGAGAGCCAAGGGCTTGTGGGAAGTTCCCCATCCTTGGCTCAATCTTATGATCCCAAGAAGCGGAATCCATGAGTTTGCACATGAGGTGTTTGAGAAAATTCTTGGGGAAACAAGCAACGGTCCCATACTCATATACCCCGTCAATCAATCAAGGTACTATTATCTTGTCAACCCTTAACGGAACCAATCATGGTCCACCTTAAAGCTAGCAAATGATAATCGTAACCTTTTCTCTCGTAATAGGTGGAACAATAGAACGTCTTTGGTCACACCAGAGGAAGATGTTTTCTACCTGGTGGCATTTCTTTCTTCGGCCGTACCATTTTCGACAGGGAAAGATAGCTTAGACTACATTCAAAGGCGAAATGAAAGGATCATAGAGTTCTGCGAGCGTGCTCAGCTAGGAGTGAAGCAATATCTTGCACATCACAGGACACAAGAAGAATGGGAAGGCCACTTTGGGACAAGATGGCAAGTGATGAGACGAAGAAAATCAGAGTATGACCCATTGGCAATTCTTGCCCCTGGCCACAGAATCTTTCAAAAGCCAATGTCCACCACCTTTTGACTATTATGTTTGTGAATTATTGGCAATTAATGAATTATATGCATTTTCGGCTTTCAGTAACTGTGAGCACGACCACTGTTGCTTCTTCCTTTTGCGATGATTCAATTATTTCGTGCAGCTTATTTATAACGGAAGAACTATTCCAGAAAAATAATGGTAAAGCAAGAAAAAATTAGCTGAGCCTCCTATATAATGGCCAATGAAAAAAAGGAGGAAGCTTGTTATGTGGATATTCTATTTTCGTTCTCTTGCATATTTAGTTTGAACCTGAAATTTTTTTTTTTAAAAAAAAAACGAAGACCTCAATACAAATTCTTGAATCCGGTCAAAAAAAAAAAAATACAAATTCTTGAAATCCAAGGAAATAAATATCTTAGCATCTCCCATCATTTCAGAAGCAGCAATTGTAATTTTCGATTAAGAAACCTTCCGACTCTCAAATTGCGATTTTAACTAGTCTGGGAGAATAGATCCTTTGGTAGCTGCAGTCCAACTAAGGAAGCAGGTTATTCTGCTTACTTCATAAATGAGGTGCATCTGAAGCTTCGCCCTTTGTTTGGCTCGAATAAGATGAAAAGAAAGAAAAATAAAAAAAAATAATGAACTTAAAAAAATAAAAACAAAATTTTAAGGGTTAATACAATTTTTAATCCTTGAAATTTGCTTTTATTTTAATTTTGGTTCCTGAAATTTCAAAATATAGATTCTGGTCCCTCAAGTTTCATTTTATTTAAAATATTAGTCCCTATAATTCAATAAAAACCTAGATTATTTTGCCTTTTACGGAACTAAAACCAAAATGAAAGCAAATTTAAGAAACCAAAGATTATATTAACCCAATTTTTAATTAATACTACCTTTGGTCCTTAATAGTGTATGTAAAAGCTAATTAACTAATTTGAATAGATTAAAAAAGATTTATTTAGTTATTTGTAATAAATCGGTGTTATCTTTATTAGAATACCCTTACTAATTATATATATTAGTTAAAATTACTATTTGATAGAATTTTTAACATGTGTAACTATTACAAGAACTATTGTGAAAAAAATTAGATAAATATGGGGAATAAAATAAATTGAAGTCTAATATTTAGAATTAAATTAGATGTCAAACTAACTATTATATTAACTACCCGAGGTAATACATAATATTTGCCGTGGCATGCTTAAAATTCAACAAGTCCACATTAGTTGGTAAGTTTGGAAGAACTTCAGATGAACTTACAATGCGGTTGAAGACCAAGCATTCCTCGCAGTAGAAATATACCAGGCGACGAGGCCAAATGTCAAAGTTAGTATTGCCACCTCATTTGGCTCTTCAAGTCGGTGAATTCCGATGGACGCCACGACTAGGTGGACGCCGAAAGCCAAAACCATGACAGGTGAACTTGAATGAGAATTTAACATCTTGATCTGACCTGCGATCTCCACTTCTCCTTTACGAAATTAATAAATCAGGGCCCAAAAGTAGGCTCGGAATTAACGGAGGTCATGTCCCCACTTACTAATAGCAATTAAAATATTTCATTTTCATGTTATAAAAACTAAAAAACGTAAAAACTGTCTAGATAACCCTAAAAATATTATTGAAAAACACATTTTTTACAAATCAAAACAAATTCTTCCACATGTTTACTTTGTATACCATAAAAATATTTTTAAAATTATAGTCTTGTTTCCACCTAAATACCCCTGTAATATTTTTATTGTTCGGTAAAAATTACTTCTTTTTGACTATCTGAAGAACAACAGTAATTTTCCAGTGGATACTTGAGTCTTCCTAAGATCCATCCCGGATGTCTTCCACGAACTTCAGATTGATCCGCATTTGCTTAGACGCTACCCGCATATGATTAGTAAATTTGTGACAAAAACCATAAGATTGTCTTCCTTCGCTTGTTTGCCCATAATAGTCACATGCTTGTCTCCCATAAAAATTGGTAAAATATGTAATCATCTCGCGTTGAGCCATTAAAAATTTATCGTTACGAAAAAAAACGCAGATTAGCGCTCACCCTCTTTTCTTTTCCTTTTTTTTTTGGGGGGGGGGGGGGTTGTTAGTTGAAATCACGGAGGTAAAAATAACTTACTAATACTACAAGAGCTTAGTTCCTTGGCACAGAGGCGGACGAAAAGGCCAAAACAAAGGTGAATTATCTAACATAGTTTTTACTCCTGCTCTTGACAAAGGAAGATAGGAAGCCATATGCTCCAAGTACTGTGGCCCCCCAATTGAATGCAGTTGTAAATTTAAAAAAAGTAAAAAAAAAAAAACAAAATCGAGGTATCCAATAAAAACATGAGCGTATAACCTCCACACAGCTCATGAACCATATTCATCGAGCTGCCTGTGCTTGTGCATGCTCCAGAAGTTGGCTGACCAACTTGTAAGTCCGCCCTGACACTGCCTTGGTATGGTCAATAAGTTGCTCATATCTGCGGTAGTGAATTTTCAACGAGTACGGATCAAGAATAACGAAAAAGATTACAGTCGATATGTCGGGAAAATTAGGCTAGCCAACATGGGACTTGAGATTTGATCACTTACACATTAGGATGATTGGGTTCCATGATAACACTTCCAGTTTCAGAGTCAATTTTGGCATCAAGCTTTGAGCTACGAATGAGATTCACAATCCATCTCTCAGCCTCCTCATAGTTCAAATTTAACTTCTCAGCAAGAACTCTGTCAGAAAGACCAGCAATTGGTGAAACCAGTCTTACAATTCATGCATATACTTAGTTATGGAGAGTAAAGTGATTAGAAGAGAGGCAGAGGAAAGGGGGGAAGGGGAGGGGAGAGGAAGGAGAGAAGATTGCAAAGGCATACAACTAACTGTTTCTTTCCATAAATGATTGAAAATAAGTCCGTTTGAAAAGCATAAATGGAGTTACAGAATTAGTTATCAGAAAGCAGGTTCATACCCCATGTCAATCCGTTGGTGTATTCTGCAGTATGTCTCAAAGATAAACAGCCTGGCATTTTCAAGGAACTCATCCCTCAATGGTACGGTAGAAAAGCTGCCATCTTCAACTTGTTTACCAAGGAAGGGATCATTGAGTATTACCTGGCATTATTGCAGGTGGTAAGCATGTGACAAGCTCCTTCAGTAATAATGTAGGTGTACAAAGACAAATTATAAGCAAGAAAGACGTGAAACAGCAAGTTCGTATATACTTCAACTCTAACGTCTAGCACTTAAGAAAGCGCACATAATGCTCTCAGGGGGTTATATTGGGCAGTCAGCAGAAAGTGACTTACTTCTTCACACTCCCTCATCTTCTTTTGTGCCTCATCAAAGTCATAGTTGACATAAACACAAGCCAAAAATTCGGTGATGGGATCTTTATATGAATGCTGCTCTTGCTGAATAACTTTAATGAAATCTTTGAATTGAGGCCTCCTGCGCTTGTTGACAATGAATGCTGTCGCCAAGTATCGTAAAAGATGTGGAGCACTAGTTTGAATAGCATTCAAATACCTGGAAAAGATGTATTATTTTAGATATGTCAGAATGTAAAATTGCACATATTATGCAACGAAGGAAGTAACTATCCAGCTTAATAAGGATTGGCAACGGAAATGAGATGAGTGGGATGTCTATGAACAAATGAAGACAGGTAAAGAAAGCAGGTTCAGTCCAGAAGGCATACTTGTCCTGATTAAAAAGATCAATAATCTGCGTTCTTCCATTATCATGGTTGAAAAAGATGAAGAGACTCCAATGCATCAACCATATTCTGTTTTGCACCTGATTTGCGGGTGATGCAAAGCTCTGCAATGAAAGTAAGCAAAGATAAGCCTATGCTTACTTAGATAACTTCAAATTTTCAATCAATAAATATATTTCCCGATGGCACTATTCAAACATCAAACAAACCTTTGAATCAATTATTTCCTTCAAACGGTTCAGCTCTTCAAGAGCAATGTCCCAGTTTTGCATCAATATCTCAGCTGCAAGCTTCCCCCATAAAGCACTCAGACTCCGTTCACTATTTGTGCATAAAGCCCTGTACTGATAGAGATAGTCAGCAGCACCAGAGTAGTTTCCACACTCAAACTGAAATTTAGCATATTGATACAATGCTTCTATTTGCTCAGGACCAATCTGTTAAAAAGATATCATTTCAAGAGTCACAACTCGATCAAGCAATTTAAACAATCAGCATCCCAAGTAGGAGGAGCAAAATAAGCAGCAGCGATGTCAAAATACATTATCAAAACGTTATTATATTGGATTCTCAGTTGGAAGTGGAAGCATACTAAAACAAACATGTAAGCTTGCCATGACACCTTCAGGGAAAAAAGCAGTTCAATATCGCCTAGGTATGCATATGCAATTAAGCATCGAAGCAAAATCTGACGGGCTTTCCGGGAAAAACGCCCTTCTATGAATTGATCGATACAATTTATTTAGGTCCCAAGCAAGAGACATGTGACAAAGCTTCTATGAAACCATGCCACCACCCATTATACAGAAACATTTTGAATACGTGCATATTCTCGTCATCCAACTGCCAATATTTGCAAAATGCCTTAAACCCGGTCAGCAAATTACTAACAAAAATTTTAGGAACACGCCAACGACTCCATGAAATTGGTTAGCAATCCGCCAACGAACACAACTATTCAACAATAGGGGAAAGTGTGAGGTGGAAAGATTCTTCAAATAGAGATCAAGTGTCTAGGTCCAAATTCAATTCCTAGGCTGGCCATATTATCTAGAAGCAAAATCATAACTCGATTCCCAAAATCACAAATAAAAGGAAGTTAATAAACCTGGTATCTGTCGTTGAGCATCTGAAGATTATACTGCTTGTCGGCCTTCAAATCCTGAACGGCACTGGCGTTCTGCAGAAAGGCAACAAGCGGTGCGGCAGCCTCCTCCTGTGCCTTGAGCCTGGCCACCACCTCGGCCCTCATATCCACCATCTCTGACGAAAAATACCCAATCTGCCGTCAGATTATAGCAAAAATCAAAACAAACACCAGAGCACAAGGAAAAGTAAGTACCTTGGGGTACATCCTCGGTATGGTAGAGGCTCTTGTGGATGTCCATAGCATAGTCGACCATGTTGGTCTTGTTAAGGAGCTCGATCTTGGCCTTGAGAATCTGGTCATTCTCGTATAGCTGCCGCTCCTGAAGGAACTCGAGAAGAGGGAAAACGAGATGCCTATCCAAGTGCGGCGAGATCCGAGGGGTTAGGTCGTAATTCGCCATTGACAACAGGAGAGTCTCCGCAAGGAAGTCCTAAACCCTAGCCGGAGAGATACTATGATAAGTAGTGCTGGTAATGCGACCCGACGGTATGAGGAACAGGTGCGGATTCACATGACCCGAGCCGCCAACACCCTTTTTTTTTTTTTGGGCCTTTTATCACCCAAAAAACAACCATTATCCTTTTATAATACTCGTTGGCGAAAAAATATAATACTCATTGGCATTAAAAAAATCCTTTTATAATACTCAATTTTTTGTTTATCATTGAAAATTTAGTACGAGTATTTTTATATGAAACCTTTCGTAGTTATGTTATTTCAAAATTAGACAGCAAAGATGTAGTATTTTCTCTTTTAAAAATTCAATAAAAATAAAAATAAGATTTCAACTCTACCTATAATCTTAGACTTTCTTAGCATACTATTGCTTCAAAAAAAATCCCCCCTACAATGATTTTTTTATTGTGTATTTGAATTATTCTATAAATATAATTGTGGATGTATTATATTGATGTAATATTAACTCAATCTTATTAGAGATATTGTTGGATAGTAAACATGAGAACCTTTTTCAACAATAGTTGGAATATTGATTCACTGCGTTAGTTAGGAAGAACTGACTCATTTAATTAGACTCAGCTTTCATTAATAAGATATTTATTTATTTATTTTATTACTGTTCTTTTTTTTTTTTAGTACAAAAATTTTAAGTAGCAGTTCGGACTTAACCCAAACTCAAGACCCGGACACCCGGTGATATCAATGTTGTGTCATTGATATACCAGCCCCATGGCGTGGCCCAAGAATTTAACTACCAATCTCAGTAATCCACTTACCCCAACTCGAAGCCCAGCGTCTTTGACGGGCCGGCTCCATGAGCATGCAGTCCAGACACCAAGTTTTTTTTCCCATTTTTTATTTCCGTTTAGAAAGATATACTGAACCCTGTACCTACTTAAAAAATTAAAGCAGCGGAGGCAATGCAGCCCTGTATTGCGTGTGTCTGTTTCAATAAGGTGACTTGTCTTAAGTACATCTTTATCCTCTAAATAAAATCACAGAAATATTCATAGGCTTTTAAAAAAAAAAAAAAGGGGGGGTGCCGAGGTTGTTCTCGCCTGATCCCCTTAACATCAATAACACATTAGACATTACTGCACGCTCCCAGCCTAAGTAAAAATTAATTAGTACTATTTTTAATTTTTAATATAAGAGTTAATTTAATATTTAATTTGGTTTTAAATATAAAACCATAATTCATTTCGTCTCTCGTGCTTAACTATTTTTTAAGATATTTATTATAGTAATTGTACATGTTAAAGGCTTCATCAGATAATAATTCTGACTAATACGGGTGATTATGAATTATATTTTAGAGAAAATAGCACATATTTATTCTAAATATCTAACTTAACTAATTTTTTTAGTTTACTCAAATTAGTCAACTAGCTCTTATATTAAGAACCGGAGGTGGAATTTCAATTTTGTTTCATGAAATTTATAACAAATTGCGCTATTTGGACCGACCCAATTTAATGTTTTTTAGTTAGTCATTTTTAAATAAAAAATATTTTTTAAAAAAAGTGAGAGTTGAGATAATATTTTTATTTTAGATTTAGATTTTATACTAATTATTTAAAAAAAAAAAAAATTTTCGGATTAGATGTGAATAGTCCAAAGAGGATGGGTTCTAGGAGCCCATTGAACACTTTCTACGCAGGTAGATGAAGGGACCCCATGTTCAGATGAATTTGCCCCGTGCCAGAATAACGAGTCCATAACAATTAACAAATGGACCCTACTCGTGCATGCAACAGTTCAACGCATGCGTGCCTGTATAAAATCCGGAGGAAAATCTTGAGGTGCCATAAACCCATTAACATTTTGAGAAAAGGACAAAAAAATATTCTCAAATATGCAAAATTTCATATCAATGCTAGTAAAAAAAAAAAAAAAAGCCCAACGTCAGAGTACTAATTTGATATTTCCAGATCTTAGTAATAGATAAGCTTGCCTTTGATAAATTGATAAAAGAAAAGACAATACCAAATGCAAGTTATTCAGTCCATTTATATAAAGGTATCATTAATCGATATAGAAGAATTGTCAACACACCTAACAAGAAAACAATATGTGATTTGTTTAAGTTTCTCAATTAGTTTGTCCTGTAATAAATCTTGTTGATTACTTGTTATTAGTATATATAAAATTATTGTTAATATATTCGGAAGATTTGTCAACGATTCTAACCAATTGACAACATGTAACTTGCCTAAGTTTGCCAATTGGTTTGTTCTATTATGATTCCCTAATTACTTGTTGTCAACAAATATAAAAGTGCTGTTAATATGTTTAAAAAAGTTATCAATGTGACAAACAATTGTAATAAATTTTCTTAATTATTTGTTGTGAATACATGTAAAAGTTTTGTTAATATATTTGGAAATGTTGTAAACTTAATGCCCTGTTATGAATTTTCTATATTTTTTATAATGCATTCATATAAAGGCACTGTGAACCAATAAATATTATACGATTCAAATGATCTCTTTTAAATACAAATAATCATCAAATATTACACAGTTGTCAAAAAATTTGATAAGGAAGCAAACACCTAATTCATACATTGTTATGGCATAAATCTAGCCAACAATAACTTCACTCACTACTTGGACAAGTGCTGCCAATTTGTTATCTTTTTTTTTCTTGATCAAGCACTTTCAAAGCTTCACCTTTTTTAAATTTAATTCCAAACCCAACACACAATCACACATATATGTCAGAGTAAGATCACATTAATTTCCTTAGCTGCCCCTGTCCCATTTCCCTAATCCCTGTTTTTCTCAGCAAATCACACATTATTTGGCATCATCATTATCAAAGCAAAAAGGGCTATTCAACAGGATCTGACACGACATGTGCTTGGCATCCGGGAATCAAAGGGCTATTCTTTTTACGAGAGCACTGCAATCTTCTTTGCTTCCACCTTCGGAGACTTCGTGCATGATGTGAAAAAACCGAGAGACCTAAACCCACAAAACTTCGGTGGCATGGACATCTGCAATGGCTTCCTGATACACTTTATTAAAGCCTCAAATGCATATATCGGCCAATCCCAAGATTCCGTGGTGCTTGATTTCAAGTATTATCAGCACCCTGTTCTGGCTTTTGATTAACCTCCCGTGTTTGCCTCGTCTTTTTTAAAATTACATTCAGAGGCAAACTTGTTTTTTTGCAAACATTTGAAAATGCTAAATCAGTACTCCTGCTTTGAATGAGCTTTTTGATTTTCACCAGTACTGATCTGAAATTTTCTATATTTAAGGGTAATTTTTTTAATCTTTTTCCCTAACATTTTCCCTCAGTTTCATTGGATCAATTGGCCATTCACTCTCAACAATCAACATACATTATCACACGAGTGCGTTGCACGTAGCCCAAAAGCTTTAAACTAAAGATGAGACAGCTTCATATATATTTTTTTCTTTTAATAAAAAAGAGTTTAAGTAAATTAGGTTTTAAAAACTTGTTAGGGTCAAGACATGTCTCAATACTTAAAGAGTGTTTACAAAGATACTTACAAAATTGTTTGGTAACAATAATTTTATATGGATGACAAGATTTCAACTTATAATTTTATAAATTATACAATGAGCTAACTTGATATTTACCACTGAGCTAACTTTTACTGACTTGTAAGCTGCACAAATTGCAGTACAAAGGAAAGAACAACTCGCGCATCATACTAACCGTGGATTTTTTTTTTTTCTGACCAAAAGATTATTGGCCATAAATAGTTTCTTCCTTTATATCAGAGGATAATTAAAAAAAAAATTCCGGGCGTCACTCGTCACGCTAAGAAAGGCACAAAACGTACGTGAGAAAACAAAAGGTAGATGCTATTATTCTGTTTTTACTTTTTACTTTTAATGCCGTGACCCGTAGTTTAATTTGATCCGTCCGTCCCTGACATTTTCTTCTTCCCCTCGTCAAAAAAGGCATCATGAAATCTTTGGCCTTCTCTTTTGTTGGGCTTTACCGAACCGAAGACTTGATACCACCAGGGTTTTTTTGACAAAAGAAAATTTAAGACGGGGTTGGTTAACCATCCCAACTTATTTATTTATTCCAATTCTATTGAGTGAGAATATTTATCTTTATCTTAAATACAAAATCTTAATCTATTTTGTTTTTTAAATTTATAAATTTTTTCAAAATAAAAATATTCACATTGACTGCACATGATAAAAAGAGTTTTCATCCAACATGAATACACATTCTTTCATGAATCAGCATTCATTTATAATTAAAAAGCTAATTTAGCCAATTTTTTCAATTTATGCAAATCAATTACTTACCATTTATATATTATAGATGGCAGAAAGTATTTATCTTGGCCCCAACATCGTTATGCCATTTAACATGCCCGGATTTAATTTACTTATGAGTAAGATCTCCGTTATTTTTTGTCTAAAAGTCCCACGCCCAAAATCGTGGTTTAGGACTCTTCGGTGTACCCTGTGACGAGTAACTGAAAACTTAATTTCCGAATAATTAAGAAATTAATAGTTATAATGTTTGAGTTATTCACTAATTATTATAATTAACTGCACTTGTCTTTCCTTCCCGGGGATGCATAACGACAGTATCCCCACATCTGTTGGATTTTTTGTCTAACATGTCTTAGGCTGTTGGCCCCTTGTCTTCTCTTATGAGAATTACAATCAAACCAAAAACCATATTTATGTGATAATATATATATACAAGTAAAACAGTGATGTTAAAATATAGAATACAACATCTTATACATGTAAACATTTTCTTAAAAAAATAATAACAATATTCCCTGCCCTTAGACTTCGGCAACAGAAGTGTACGGCTGGTCAAAAGAAGCAACAGAAGTCAACGATGATGTGGAAAAATGTTACCATAAACGATAGTATGATAGACCAACAATAGTTAGTAAGTAGGTTTACAACTAATAAGGTCGTAAATTTGAATTTGAATTTGGCGTGTTCGATATGAGGAAAAAAAATAACATGGTAATATTGAGAAAATAAGAACAAAACAAATTCTCCTTGTCCGTGGCTCACGAAAAAGGAAATAGTTGCCTTGTTAAATTTCTTGTCCGTAAATAGTAGGGGCGAGAGATTTTAGGCCATGATCGCTTCCCCACAGCACCAAAGCACTAAAGAGATTCGTATACTAAATCTCTCTATATATATACATGATCCTCACAATATCTTTACCTAGTCTTCATTCATCGCACAATCAACGATAAGCATGGCCTCTCTTTCTTCCCCCGGATCGATTTTTTACGTCCTCCTTCTCATTCTGTGTTCGTCTGCTATCCTATTCGCAGATGAGACTAAGGAAGAAGTTGGTATGATCTCTCTCTCAGTACATTCTCTGTTTCTTCACGTGTACGATATTTGGTTTCAAAATAATGGCATCTTCGTTACGCGGATTCAGGATGATTTTCTCACAAAGCTTCGATTTGCGTTTTTCTTTTGTAGACAGACAAGAATTTGATCACATGACGTAGTGAACATGATTTGCTTACTAATATTTCTCTCTACTTAATTTTTGCAAGTAAACTGGTTACTTGTTCTTTTAATGCTTAAAGACGAGGCAGTGATTACGCGTGGAGAATGCCTTTCTCGTGAAATATCGTGCTGGTTCCTTTTGGTTTGTTTTATTTTGTGAATGGAATTTCATTTGGTGTTTGGACAGAGGACGAACACCCATTCCTGTACGAAGAGGAAACCGGGAAAGGACCAAAAAATTGGGGGAGTCTGAAGCCAGAATGGAAAATCTGTGGGACTGGGAAATTGCAATCTCCCATTGATCTTCTAGACGAAAGGGTCCAACTTTGTCCAGACTTGGGCAAACTCAAGAGGGACTATAAACCTGCTCCAGCTACCATCAAGAATAGGGGCCACGACATTGTGGTAGCCCCATTTTCATTCTATTTATGCAAATTCCTCCATCGACAGTAACTCTTGCACAGTTTTAGATATCTGTCATGAGGTCTTTTCAATAGAATTATGATATGTTAAAATGTGAAAATATGTTTGTGTTGTGTAAAATGTGAAAGTATGTTTGCGTTGTGTTGTTTTGCAGGTCCATTGGAAGGGATATGCAGGGCAGATTAACATAAACGGAACTTATTACAAACTAGTACAGTGCCACTGGCATACACCTTCGGAGCACACGGTGAACGAGAAAAGGTTAGTTTGGTGCACGCGATTCACCAGAACAGTCTTGTGAGGGTTCTTAGTGTTGTCACATTCACTCAAATTTGATTTTCAGGTTCAACCTGGAGCTCCATGCAGTTCATGAATCAGATGATGGAAAGTCGGCTGTTATTGGAATTTTATATGAATATGGCCGCCCTGATCCCTTGCTTTCAAAGGTTTGACGTTTCTTGTTTCGGCCCTACAAAATTTAACATGTGCAGACACAAACAGGATGCTTTTTTTTTTTTTTTTTTAAAGTATAAAGAGCAAGCGTTTAGTTCCCCTCATCAATCTCCACCTCCGCATTTAAAGGTGGAAGGTGATAAGGATACAAAAATAATCAGCCTTGTCATGCACAGGCCTAGCTAAGTAATCTGCAAAACATGATGCTTCTTTAGCTAAGTTCAAGTAATTCCTTGAACAGATTGCGTATGATCGGGTATGAGTTATTAATTTACGATTCGTTTTTTCTTTTTCTTTTTTTTTTTGAATGGCAGCTAATTCCCCACATAAAGTCCATTGGTGAAGAAGAGAGAGATTTGGGAATCTTAAACCCTGGAGTCATTAAATTTGGAAGCAGGAAGTATTATAGATACCTTGGATCTCTTACGGTTCCACCCTGCACTGAAGGCGTCGTCTGGACTATAGTGAAGAAGGTTCCCTACTTTCACACCATCCTTTAAACTACGAATGGCTTCAACTTTTAACTTTTTAATCTCTTCTGTTGTATTTATACATTGTGTTCGTCTATCACAGGTGAGGACAGTCTCTAGGGAGCAGGTGAAAGCATTGAGGGACGCTGTTAATGATGTAAGTAAATCAAGCTTGTCTCTACTTTCTTATTACTGTTAAGACTCCACTCTATCAAATTTGAAGATTAATTATTGATTTATCTTCGGAATTACTTAAAATCAAATGCTACTTAACATTCTTAAATCTTCCTTGAGCAGCTTTCTGATTTTTGTGATTTATAATTTTAGGGATTCGAGGAAAATTCAAGGCCTACGCAGGAACTTGACGGAAGACCAGTTTGGTTATATACCAAGGGACCATAAAAATATGTAAGGTAGGGAGGGAAGTGAAAACCTTGTATGGCCGTTGACGTTGTCGGATGGACAACAAATAAACCATTTTGGTATGATTTACAGCTTCCATCATTTCCAAGTTATCGTTCACTTAAATCAGAGATACAGTCGCAATTTTGGCCAGATTAAACGTACTGGAATAATAACTTTAAAATTATTTGAATTCGGGGAAAAATTGGTATCACAGGGTTGATTTATTTAGATTGAACTGGTAATGATGCCAGACGATACAGAAGGCAATTTTTACAAAAGAAAGCAGTGCTAAGATCACATCACTATCTCAGAACCTGTTTACTTACAACATTTAAACACAAGTAGTGTTAAGATCATGGAGCTTTTTTACTTACAACATTTGAACACAAAGGAAAGGAGGTACATGCAGTTTAAAAACCCAGGAACTAGCAATCGCAAAGGCAAGCCAATACTTTCTAAGCGATGAGGAATGGCAGAACAGTCAGCATAAACGACTCATACGTGAATGTTGCAGAACCAGAGTAATTGGTATCCTTCTCCTTGAATTTTTCGGTTAGTCCCTGCAAGTCACATGATTCAAAGTCAGACCCTTTTAACTTTCCAGAAACTAACAACCATTAATTGGCAGATTGTGCAGTCATTCCTTGGTTAAATGAGAGGAGTGTGATTGTTAAACATCCTGTTGTTGGAAGTTCAATTTGGTTTTAATCATTTTGGCCAAAGAAAATTTTGGTTTTAATCATGGAATTGGGTGCCATTCAATATAGAAACAAACTTCTGCATAAAACATCAAACATTATATTACTAATTGACCATTCAAGATGAATATGACCGTGTTAAAATTAAGCGTGACTTCGGAACTCACCTTAACAGTAAGACAACACCTGCATCGGCAGACAAGGGAAACGGGGAAAAATCAGTCCAAAAGGGTGCCGTATATACAAAATTTTAAAAGGATGATAAGTTAATATCCAACAAAAAAGGATAAGTAGCAAAATCATACTCAATGAAATTGTCATATTCAATAGCCTTGCTTTTTCCACCAGTTTTGTCGAACTTGGAGACAAGCAAATCCAGTACCGTCGGTGAAACAGCAAACCCCATGCTCAGTAGTGCATCCCTCAACTCGGATGAATCGATTTTGCCACTCCTGTCCTTATCAAATCTCTCAAAAATGGACTGAAATGACCAGAATTCACAATTCAGAATGTGACGAAAAGGAACACAGAAAATTTCGAATTGAGATTGACAGAGACGAAATTAGTAAATTACCCTCCAGTTCTGAAGATTGTAATATAAAGAAGTGAATTCTTTTGGTCCTGCATTAAAATGACAAGAACAGAAAGAAAATGTAAATAAATTCCAAATATCATATAAATAATATAAGGACACGTTCCAGTCAGCTCACTCCATTTTCCGGGTCGAGTTATAGCTAAGTTAGTTTCAGTTAAGGCACAAATTCCAGTATATTTTGATATCCTCATAAATAATTATCAAGTGTAAGTATTTAAGAGCTGCTCTTTTATCAACTCTCGAGTTTTAAACGTAACAAACAGCGTAGAGCAACGCGTGTACTATTCCGCTCATAATAAATGGGGGCCCGCATAAACCACTCCCATTAAAGTCAATACCAAAAGGTGGATATATCCATTCATCCGTACCTATATAATATGTTGGCAACATTTTTTTATAAACATAGGTATTTGGAGTCAAACACAATACAACAGATTATAATATAAAAGGTGGGGTTAATACAAATTTTGGTCTTTTAAGTTTATCTTAATTTTGATTTTAGTCCCCCAAATTTTAACTATAAGTTTTGATTCCTCGAGTTTTTTTATTTAAAATATTAGTTCCTATAATCTAATAAAAACTTGGACCATTTTATTTTTTGATGAACCAAAACCTATGATTTGAAATTTGTGGAACTAAAATCAAAATGAAGACAAATTTGACGACCAAAGATTATATTAAGTTTGATGATAAAAACAAGATATCTGGCGGACAAAACAAAGGATAACAAAAACAATATAAAGGGGAGACGCGTTTAGTTGACCAAACCAGATCCGCGTAATTCATGCAAGGTGGCCCAATATAATTCTAGGACCTTTTGGCCCATATATTCACAGAGGTCAAAAACAGATGACGAGCAAAACAAAATAGTCTTTTAAATTTAAAAATAAAAAAATTAATATAATCTTTAACCTTTTAAATTTATCTTTATTTTGATTTTAGTCTTTTAAATTTTAAATCATAAATTTTGATCTCAAAACAAAATAGTCTATGTTTGTATTAGACAATAGGGACCAATATTTAATAAAAAAGTTTAAGAAATTAAAGGTTATGATTTGAAATTTAAAAAGCTAAAAAAATAGCAAGGGCATGTTTTACATTTTACATGCAGTTGCATGCTGACCAAAGTAAGGACCAAACCCACCGCCACGTGTCCAGGCGGTGACCCGACGCATCCACCGGGGATCTTTTAGGTTGATTGCTGCCGAATGAAGATGACAATGCCCCGGGTCGGCGAGGCCGTGAAATTTAGCACCACATGCCGGAGAGAATTCTCTTCCGGCTTAATTTATCGGGAAATTTAATATCCCCTATCCGAATTTCACAATTCCATAATCAATTGAAAAAAAATAAAATAACAGATAAAATGTCACAGAGAGTACCAATTTTCCTGATGTTGGTGTTGGTAAAGTGATACATGAGAAGACGAACAGTCCTCAAACTGAAGCTCTGATTGTAGGAGGAAAGCGCCATCTGCAATTCCTTGTCGTCGATCAATCCACTGCCGTCTTGATCTGCAATTTGGAAGCAGGCAATCACACTGGGATCGGTGCCAGGAGGGAACGCTGACGGCACCAGCGTCGCGAAAGGGCTTGGGTACGAAGGCGCCGACGCCGGCGGGTAGCCTCCGCTGCTGCCGCCGTGGGTTTGGAAGTTATCTTTGTGGGGTTTCTGACCAGGTGGTGCGTAGGGTGCAGCGTAAGGAGCAGCAGCCGGAGCATAAGGGTTACCTTGGCCATGCGGCGGGGGGGCAGCGCCATAGGGGTTAGCGGAATAGGGTGGCGACGAGCCATATGGTTGGCCTGATGGCGGCGCACCGTAACCGTAACCGTATCCGTGACCGGGGGGCTTGTTTGGATATTCAGACATGATGAGGCGGTGATGAAATGAAAGAGCGAGGGAGACTTTGCTTATAGAGGCCGTCGACTCAGAAGTTAGGCTTTGTTTGGTTCCACGGAAGGGAGGGGAGGGGAGGTTAATTAGAGGAGGCGGAGGGGAGGAGAAGGGAAGTCATGGTTTTGTTTGGTTGGAGAGAAAAGGAGGGAAAGAGATACTCCTCCGATCCTTATTATAAGACTCAATTTGACTTTTTATTTGGTTCTAATTATAAGACCCAATCCATTTTGTCTCTTATATTTATGCATTTTTTTCCAAGATAATCCTTCTAATAATGATAGTTCTAGCCAATATACTTAATTAGCAAGGATATTTTAGGAATAACAACACTTATTTATTATAAATAACCAACTTAACTTACTTCCTTAATTTCCTCAAATAAGTCAATTGGGTCTTATAATTAGGACCGGAGGAGTATTTCTTATTTGGTTTATAAGAGGAGGAGAGGAGAGGTAATTATAAATTGACAAATATGTCATTATCTCTATATTTAGACTGGTTTATTTTTTTATTACAATATTTATGTCAAAATTATTATTTCTTAATTTATCAATTAAAAAAACCAATTACCTTACTTACATGTGATAAAAAAATTAGAAAATGTGACAAAAAAATTAATATTATATCTCATTAATTTTATAAATATATGCATTAATATATATGATGTGTACATATTATATAATTATAACACACACGTTATGATATATATATATTAATATACATGCATGTTATCTGAGATTATAATACAGACGCTATCATATATAATTATAATACACACATGTTATGATATGTATATACTAATACATATGATATGTATATATTATAATATTATAATTATCAAATATTATTAGTGGCTAAAAAGAGAAAGAAGTGAAAAAAAAAAAAAAAAAAGATAGACAAACTTGAAATATTGAAAAGTTAGTATGAGTAATTTTGTTACTATTATATATAATATTTCTCTTCCCTCCAAAAAAACCCCAAATTTGGAGAGGAGCATGGGGAGAGAAGGGGAGCACTAAAAGACAAATTTCTCCCCTCCCCTCCTCTAAAAAACCCTTCAACCAAACAAAGCCTCAGAGATCCTCTAGCTTGGCATTGTGGCAGTCGGATTGATGTTTATACTTTGTACCGTCAAAGAAAAGGGTAAGGAACAAAAAATCGAACCAGAAACTAAACCGATCGAGACAATGGGTCAAGGGTCACTGGTCGAACCGAAGGTCGGACTGGGGTCGAACCGGTCATATTAAAATAATACAATTTAATTTACAACATTAAAATAGAATAGAATTTATAAATAATAATCACTCAAAATAGAGATAGAAAGTACAAAAATAGTTTAAATATTTAACTGTACCAAACAAATATTAATAAAATACACATCTTTATGATTATGTAAAATCACAATCATCATTAAGATTATTAGCAGGAGCATGAGACCTGATAATAACATAACACTTCACTAATTGCAGATTTTGGTGAAGCAATTACCAATACACACGTCAATAAAAACCCCATAAATTTACAAGACTCTCCAAAATCACAAGAAAAATGCCCAATAAATTTGGAAACAAACAAAAGTACCTCAACACTGTAACATTCTAAATTTTGTTTTAGGATTTAAGTTTCATTAAAATGGGATTAATTAATTTTACATAAATTTAATCTTACTGTTTAAATGATAAATCATAATTTTAATAAAATATATATAATAATTAAAAATATATATAAATAATAATAAAGCAAGTGGGTGGCACGAGGCCACCCACTGCCGTACGTTTGGGAGAGGGGAGTGACCCCCTTATCTATTAAAATAATAATAATAATAAATAAAATAAATAATAAAAAGGTTTAGGAAGGCGTTGGTGTGGGCTCACGTGACTCTATTGGTTTTTTAAAAAAAAAATCACTCACACACCCGCTCATTCTTGTTTCGGTGTCTGGGAGGCGACCTTCTTTTTGTTGTTCTTTTCTTTCTCTTTCCCTTCCATCGCGTCAGTACTCCTTCTTCCTCGGTTCTTCTTTCGCCGCAGTGGTGAGTGAGAGTGAGGGAGAGATAGACGGTGTGTGAGCAAGGAGAGATTCTTTGGTCTCTTCTAAATTATTTAGGTAAGCTATTTTCTTCCTACTTTTTCTATTTATTTTTAAGTTTATGACAGAAAATAAGATGTGTTGGGCTTAATAGATTTTTAATGATTTGAGGCTTTTAACTTACTTTGATGATATTAATGGAGCTTATGGGGTTAGAATAGAAGCCTTATGACTTAGATTTTTAGTTGGATGGTTTATTTGAGGCAATGTAAATTAGGGATTAGTTGGGAAATTATGATTTGTGTTAATGATGATATTAATTTCGAAATTTATCTCTTAGTTGAGTTCATTTGAGGTTATATTAAGGATTCAATGCTTAAACTTTGAGAATTGTCACTAAAATAGTAATGTTGATGATTTTTGGAAAGACTTTAAGTAGTGGAAGTTGGGTGTTTGGAGTAAATTAAGAAAATATTAAAAGTTATTAATTCCAATGAATGGGAAATGATTAATGGAAGAAGGGAATAAGATTGTAATAATGATTGGAGGTATAGATAGTACATGATTATTTTTTTCTAAGAGTTAAAGTAAACACTTTTTGGAGATTTTTGGATGATTTGAAGGAAATATTCTTATTAATGATGTGAATGAGAGAAATAGAGTTGGGAAGTATTAGGAATTGTCACTTGGAGGAATAGATGAATTATTATTTTTCTAAGGATAATTTTTTAAGCAAGCAATTATGGGGATTTAGTTAATAAACTATTTTTAATGCTATATTAATTAGTCTTTTTATTAATATATGTTTATAAACTTATTGTTGTAGAGTGAGCTTGGTTTGGGCTCTTGGGTCTTGAATCCTCCTACTCTTAGTTCTTGTGTCAAGAACTTGAGGTAACCACTTTCTAATTTACCTTGTATGCTTGTTGATGTGATTATAAGCATGTGTTGATATTATAAATGTTCTCAATATGTGTTGTGGTGGTTTTTGTATGAAAAGTAATTTATATATCTATATCAAGATTTATGTTTTGATAAATTTATTAGTTAAGTGGGCATTAATTATTTCATCTTATGAATATCTTGTTGATTTTGAACAAATTTGATTATTGAATCTGAGAATACTTTATGGATATGAAATTGTGTGGAATTGGATGGTTGGATTGGGCTGTGTTGGTTGTGCTGAAATGTAGTTGTGGGAGGTCTGATTATTTATACCACGTGGTATAGCCGCCACTTGGCGCCCAGTGGTTGGCATCAACATTCTTAGGGCCCTCGGTATCACCCTTCCTTTGGCCGGGTCAATGGTCAGCCCAAGGGACATGACACCTTCCCATATTCCAAGGAAAGGGAACCCATGGTTCGATATGAGCTCTGTAACTTTTGACCGAGTTATATCTCATTATTGGAGAGCTTGGTGCAGTCTTGTAAAAGAGACGAATCCTGTTATGTGTGAATAGCCCATGGGTTTTGTCAGAGGTTACAAGGAGGTTATAAGGATGGTTGATGAAGTTCTGTGCATGCAAGTTATTTTTGAATTATTATATATTGTTTTCTGTAAAGATGTTTAACTTATATGTTATTTGAAATTGTACTTTGCCCGCTTAGCTATCTTGTAATCACTCCCTGGATACTTGTTGAATTGGAATTGTGGTTACTGGGTCAATTTGACTCACTCCATAGTTATTTAACATTTTTCAGGCGAGGGTTCAGGTGTTGGTCCCAAGGGGAAGGTGTCCGAGGTTTGAGTTTTCCTTTCCACTCTGTATAGCCTCTATTTTGATATACATGTTTTGACTGATGTATATTGCCAAACTTTAGGGCCTTTTTGTTATACTTAGCATAATCATAGCTTCTCCGCTGCATTCTAGACTTGTACTATTGGGCGGAGCCCTTTTTGGTCATATGTGATTGTTATTTTGATTGCAATTGATAATGGGCAGTAGTGGTAGTTATTTTGTTGGACTTCAAATGTCCTAGCCCATTTACAATTGGTCTTAATTGTAGTTGAGATTCCAGAGTATTGTTGATGGATTTGATATATACATGAAAAAGCGAATGTTGATCCTTTCTGATTTGATTAACTATCTTTACTATTCTAGAACAGTAGCTACTACTCTGTTAAAGATTTGGATTGTTTTTTACTATGGTAGATTTCTATTTGATTAGGTTTGTCCTTCCTACCATGGTTAGCCTTTTAAAGCAATTATCGTTTTGAAAATGTCTATTTACCATGAATTACGGGGGTTGTTACAAACTCCATACTTGATGGTGGATGGCCACACCAGCAAGAGTGTCCAGTTTGGAAACTCGATGCTCTATATAATTGAGTCCACCGCCTCCCACCCCTTCGTTCTGTAAACCATTCGATGGAGACATGAACTTCGATTGACCACCACCGACACCAAGATCTACGATCTCATAAAGGAAAGTTCAGAGACACAAAACAACATACATGTAAATAGTAACCAGCTACAGAAATGAAAGGGTAACAAAACTGGAGGGAAAATTCTCCCAGTAGTGGAATTGAGCAGAGAAATTTTGACTCGAAGAAAGGAAAAGGAGAGAAAAAGAGGAGGATGAAGCTGGCTGGAAAACTGGAACAATCACCCATGACCAATGAAGGAAAAACAGAGCACATTTAAGTATCTAAGTCTAACTGAATGAAAATTACTAACAAGAGGCAAGAGCACAGAAGCGACCACCTGCGGCTGCGACGTGCAGATCTACTTGAACCACAACGACCTGCTGCTTCAATGTTCGACCTGGACGACCTGATGGGAAGATCTGGGACCTCTGACAGTGAAGAAAACTCCAACAAAATAAGGGTGGATTCAGCTAGCAATTTTTGATCTGGGGGAGGGAAGAAAAATGGCGAAAAGCGAAAGGCAAAAACTCACTGAAGTTGGCCTTTGATTTCGACCTCCTGCTTTGTTTTTTCTTCTCAAGTTTCCCCTATTTAACTACGTCATTTCCTGGGATTCAAGTTGGAAAAAAAATAGTTCAAACCGGGAAAACCATCAGACCGCCAGTTTTCCCGGTTATGACCGGTTTTAACCGGTCTAAAAACGGTCAATAGACCAACGGTTTTTTCAGCAACCCAGATTGGACCAGCCGCCGGTTCACTGGTTTTCCGGTTGAACCGGCCGGTTCGGTCTGTTTTTTTCTTTTCCTTAGAAAAGGGACAGTGTTTTGTTGAATGGTTAGCAACACTTATTTTATTTGGGATTTATTAAGACCAAACCAATCCGATGAAATCCAGCGAAACTTGTGATGTTTTTTTTAAACAATGTAAATTGTTCCGTAATTTACCTCGCTCCAGTCCATGATATACAACATTTTATAGTTTTAAGATGTACTACTGCGCTTTTACTTTTTTTTTTGGGGGTGTGTACTGCTATGTTTTTACTTTACCCCAATGTTAATTAATACTACCTCTTGTCTTGATATAAATATTCATTTGATTTTTACTTTAGATTCTAGTTCATTTTGTCTCTCATATTTATTTTTTAAGATAATTCTTGCAATGATAATAGTTTTAACAATACACTTGATTAGTAAGAATATTTTAGGAAGACAATATTTATTTATTACAAATAACTAATTTAACTAGTTTTTTAATATGCTCAAATTAGTTAACTAACTATTATGTTAAATAATACTACCTCCCGTCCTTAATATAAGATCTCGTTTGATTTTTATTTTAGTCTTAAATATAAGACTCCAATCTACTTTATCTCTCATATTTATGTATTTTTTTCAAAATAATCATTTTAATAACAGTAGTTCTAATCAATATATTGATTAGTAAATATATTTTAGAAAAGATAATATTTATTATTATAAATAACTAATTTAGTTTATTTTCTTAATTTTTTTTAAAATTAGTGAAGTAGTTTTTATAATTAGGAGGAGGCAGTACGACACTTCAAGTAATTACACGTATGAAGCAGTGAGTGTTTGTTGTGGGTGAGGCTGTAACTCCTCCAATAAGTGTCGTATCATGGGTCGGGAATGGATGAAGTAGTACCATACTTTCGCATAACTGCTGACATCGTCATCGGTAACATGAGCTGGGTAATTTCTGCAGAGTTGAGTAGACCCGGTTATTTGCACCCACGCAGAGCCTTTTTTTACGCCTAAACACATGTATTCTTCTATTTTAAGATAATCTTGTTTGGTATACCTGAAACGTGGACATTCTTTTTAGCAGGATTTTGAATTTTGGTTTGACACAGTTTGATATATTTTCCCCTGGTACTAACACACTGCTTGATTTTATATACACAAATATATATCGTATATTTTTTTAAATAAAAAAAGCCCGAATCATGGTCCCATTGTGAGCCCAAATCCAGTACAAGAGAATGGGCCTGTGAGAAGCAGCCGAGGGTAAGGGATAAGGCGTCTGAAGCCGAGGAAATCTAAACTGGACGGTGGACAAAAGATAACAGAGACAAAGGCCGTTGGGCGGGATGTGACCGATTTTGGAATTTCTCTCTCCCCCCTCGTATTTTTGGTGACAAGAGGAATGCTGCTAGCCCAAAAACTCAATCCGGGTCCATGACATTCGGATCTGCGTAAGGCACCCTTGTCCTGCCCAAAACAACCTCTAACCGGCTGTGGAACCTCCTCCCGGATCCGACAACCTTCGACGACATTCCTTTTGTTAATCCAGTACATTTCGCGGGAAAATAAGCTTTAGGAAGCTTGTCGGCAAATGATTCGCCTCCTCCCAATGTTAAGCCCTTTTGATCCAGTATATTTTCCTCCCTCATTTTCTGATCATTACATACCATTTTCATGCTTTTCTGGCCATTTGAATCGGGAAGAAAGAAATTTGATGTTGGCAAGAACACATTCTCGGTAGCAAGTGAAGCGCATAATTTAAAAATAGAGAACGGAAAGCTCAACTGGGGAAAACAAAATCCGCATGAAGCTACTTTCCTTAGCAAGGCCATCTGTGATCTGTACCTTCCCTAAGGCCTAAGCTAGTGTTGAAAATACCCAAAAAAAAAATTGATCCCTTTATTTTCATTGTTATTTCAATGTAACTTTTTTTTTTGGCCCCCAGTTTTCCTGCTAAAATTTGTATTTAAACGAAATCAAAATTCAGAATAAATATATCAAACTATTCAGACAAAAAAAAAATTATGAACCCCCACTAACGGGGATTCTATCAAATTTTGCACAGAATGGGCCCTGTTTGTACAAATAATGTTAACATATCATTATCAATCAATCATTAACCAAAGTTTGGCCAAAAATATATCAAGTAATTAGTTAAAGCTAACACTGGGCCCTTTTTTGCTGGGCTTCTAACACCCCGGCCCCAGAGAGGAATTTTTTGGGGGCGAAAAACCAAGGAATTTGTTGAGGATGGCGCCGAAAAAAACAAAAATCTCTCCCTCACGCGGCGCATCTCTTGAGGAGGGAGGACCGTCTCCACGTGTCTCTCTCCAGCTGCCACCGCTTAATACCGTTGATACTGAACTGGATGCGCCAATTCCTGCTCCTCAGAATTGAGAAGTTCCATTCGTGGCGCACGTTAAGAAGATGTCACCCGTTCGGTGCACGTTAGCACACTTTGATGCTACGTGCACCTCCTGCGTCTTCGACTCTTCTCTTCCCCTTGCTACCCACCTTATCCTACGCACCACACCATTTCCCTTGTCTTCCACCATACTCCTTTTAGGGCTACCGAGGAACTTCTCTTTCTCCTTCTGCCGATCTCTCCCTTCATGACTTTCCAGAGAGTTAGGGTTTCTTCGGTCTAGGTTACCCTCACATTGTAATCGCGTCATAACCCCATGGATCACAGAAGGTTAACCAAGGACTCGCTCTCGTACTCTACTCTTTTCAATCTCGAGGTTTGTCTCTCTGGCTTTCCCCATTCTTTCTCGGCTTCCATATTTTGCACCAAGTTATTATGTTTTATACTTGTGTTTGCTGAACTGCCTTTTTAGACCTGGAGGTTTTATATTCCTGCATCATGTTTCCAAACTAGTATACTTTTTAATTTTATCGCTTTTGGTGGGTTACTAGAGCTTTGCATAATTGTTTCAAATTGTTATTAGCTTTTTATATTTCCTAAAGCTTATTTTCCCGCGAAATATTATTACGGCTCTTTATTTTTTTTTTTGTCTTTCTTGTTGCATTGTTTTGTAGTCTTTGATGAATTTTCAACTTCCACAACAAGATGATGATTTTGATTATTATGGGAATAGTAGTCAGGATGAGAGCAGAGATAGCCAAGGTAGGCATTACTTTTTTCTTTTTGTTGGTCTTCGAAGATTCTTTACCTACTTGGATTTTACGCACGCAAATGCTAGTTCTATTCTACAAGTTTTCTCCACTGTATAGCTGGCGGATGAATTTTGGAGAATCAGAGGTTTAACACCCGTATTTTTCTACCCTATATTTTTGGAATGCTTCCATGAATAGGTGGGGCAATCGCAAATCACAGCAACGGGAGTATGCGTGGAAGAGAGGTAAATTTGCTGAAGAAGAGGAAGTGGTCTCAAAACAGTGACGACGAAGACAAGGGTAATTTTTGTGGAAAACACATGACTGAGGAGCGATATCGATCAATGCTTGGGGAACACATTCAAAAATACAGGAGGAGGTATAAAGATACCTCGTCTAGTCCTGCCCAAAATCGTGCTGGTGCTCAACTTCTTAAAAGTAACATAGGTTTGAAAGCGCGGAAGTTAGTGAATGAGCATCGAGGTGGAATACATGCTCTGGATGCTACATCTGAGTGGCCTAATGATATTAATGCTCAGAAACCTGTAAACTACCGTGATGCAGAATTCAGACAGCAATATGGACCTGACAGGTTTAATTTTCTTCCCTGTTCCTGGATAGTGTTGGAGAGTTTGAAATATGCAATGTTAAATATGACTTAATGTTGTATAACATCACAATCACCATCACCATCACCATCGTTTTCTCTTACTTGCAGAACCATCTATGAACCAGCTTCTTTAGATATTGGAGATGGCGTTACCTACAAGATCCCTCCTACTTATGATAAGTTATCAGCGATGCTGAACCTTCCAAGTTTCTCTGATATCCTAGTTGAGGAATTTTACTTGAAAGGTACCTTGGATTTGGGATCCTTGGCTGCAATGATGGCTTCTGATAAGAGGGGTGGGACTAGAAACCGAGCAGGCATGGGGGAAACCTTACCTCAATACGATTCACTTCAGGCACGATTGAAGGCCCTGTCAGCATCTAATTCACCTCATCAATTTAGTCTGAAAGTATCCGACATTGGTTTGAATTCTTCCATCCCAGAGGGAGCTGCTGGAAATATTAAACGATCTATTTTGTCTGAGGGAGGTGTATTGCAGGTTTATTATGTGAAGGTTTTAGAGAAAGGTGACACGTATGAGGTATGCATGGGTATCAAAATATTACGGGAGACCTTTCTTTTCAATTCCTACTCCCCCTTTTTTGTTGATCCTTATGTCTTCTCTGCTGCAGATCATTGAAAGAAGCCTACCTAAGAAGCAAAAGGTAAAGAAAGACCCTTTGATGATTGAGAAGGAGGAAATGGAGAGAATTGGAAAAGTCTGGGTAAATATTGTGAGAAGAGACATACCTAAGCATCATAGGTTTTTTACTGGCTTCCATCGAAAGCAAATTGTTGATGCCAAGAGGTTCTCAGAGAACTGTCAAAGAGAGGCATGCTCTGTTTCCTACCATTTGCAGATCTTTCATCTATTCAATCAATTAAGTTTTTAACTCTATATTCCGTGATCTGATATTTAACCTGTATGGATATCCTTCTCTTTCAGGTCAGAATGAAAGTGAGTAGATCACTTAAATTCATGAAGAGTGCATCCATTCGCACCCGGAAACTAGCTAGAGATGTCTTGCTGTTTTGGAAACGAGCAGATAAGGAGATGGTACTATTCATTTCTTTTCTGAATATATTATAATGGCTCTTGTTATCAGAAACTATAAAACAACATTGGTTTAAGAAGCTTCCCTATGTGTGATAATGGTGCATGTTCAGTGGAAAATAATCATACCTACAATTCTTAGGATCCTCCTTCCTGGTGAACACTGAATATTGGTGTATTTTAATCGGTAATGTTGTGCACCCTTTACAGTTGTGAATTTAATTTGGTGCCTGAACTGTTTGGTGAGGTGGATGTTGAGACTTAGATAAGGAGAATCGGGCTTTGTTTATTTGTTATTGCGCTGTGTTATGTCTGAAAATATGGTTTATTTGGTGGCCACTGAACGGGTAATTGGAATTGTAATTTGAAATTGAAGATTGTCATGCTTTTGCAAACTTTGCTGTACATTGAGCTGGACTTGGATGCGCTTTCAATTTCTGTTTTCATTTATTACAGGCAGAATTGAGGAAAAAGGAGGAGAAAGAAGCTGCAGAAGCTTTGAGGCGGGAACAGGAGCTTCGAGAAACAAAGAGGCAGCAGCAAAGGCTGAATTTCCTTATACAGCAAACTGAGTTATACAGTCACTTTATGCAGAACAAGTCAAACTTGCTGTCCTCTGATGCTTTACCTATGGTAGATGAAAAAGCAGATGATCAAGCTGCAGAACCTGGCTCTTCAGATGTTAGGCCTTGTGAGGAGGAAGATCCTGAAGAGGCTGAACTGAAGAAGGAAGCTCTGAAAGCTGCTCAAGAAGCTGTCTCTAAGCAGAGAAAGTTGACAAGTGCTTTTGATGATGAATGCTTGAGGCTGCGTCAGGCTGGTGAAACTGATGCACTTTCACAGGAAGTTGCAGGAGCAAGTAACATTGATTTGCAAACCCCGTGAGTTCTTCTTGTTCTCCCCACTGTTTGGCACGCAGACAAATACATGCACACATATATGGACATGTATATATGTATTTGCTTGTTTCTGTGTTAAATTTTTAGCCAGATGGCATTGCTGATTATGATATTAGGCGATAATGTTGAGTTTTAAGGGAATTGTCTGATGTCCTGTTGCAGCTCAACCATGCCTGTGGCATCAACAGTTCGCACACCAGAAATGTTTAGAGGCTGTCTTAAAGAATATCAACTAAAAGGTCTTCAGTGGTTAGTTAATTGTTATGAGCAGGGTCTGAATGGTATACTTGCTGATGAAATGGGACTTGGAAAGACCATTCAAGCCATGGCTTTTTTAGCCCATTTAGCTGAGGTAACCAGTCAACCTTCTGTGTTTGGGCCCTTCTGATGACTTTAATTTAACAATTTTCCCCATGCAGGAGAAAAATATATGGGGACCATTTTTGGTTGTTGCACCTGCATCAGTATTGAACAACTGGAATGAAGAACTTGAGCGCTTCTGCCCTGAAATGAAAGCTCTTCCTTATTGGGGTGGGCTTCATGAGCGGACGGTACTTAGGAAAAGTATTAACCCAAAGGATCTTTATCGTAGGTAATCTTCATTTCATGCGTTGTACAGTCACAATTTATTCAAAATGGTTACTTGATTTCCTTTCTACGCTGCCTGCCTCATTGGTGGGATGTTTCTGTAGTTCAGTGACTGAAAGATCGGTTATGGTGATAAGATAAGCTCCTTAGAGGCTCAGTTGATATGCTTCATAAAGGAAGAAAATATAAACTAAGCAAAGGTTTTGTCTCTTGTTAGGAGAATTATATCTGCATTCAGCTTCACAAAGTCTTCTTGTCTATTATCGTATATGTAAGCAAATTTTCCAAATGACACGGGTGACATATTTTGAGAAAACTTCAAGAAGATTTTAATTGGTCTGAATGTTTTAGGTAGAGTTGTTTGGCCTTACTTTAGCATTCAGTTTCACTAAATATCTTTTACTTAATATCTTATATGAGGGTGAATTTTTGAAATGGCACAAATGACCATGAGTAAATCTCAGATAAGAGGATTTTAATTTGTCTTAATTTTTTAATAGAGCGACTTGGAGAATGCTGAATTTGGCATCCATAATTCCTTGTCCAAGCTGCAAGAAAAATGAAACGTTTTATTCTAAATTTCTCGAAATGCTGGTTCTTGCTTTGTTGAAGATGAGGAAGATAAGTAGTTGACATCCCCTACTACATGCTGGGGCGAGTGTGGCACCCTGAAGGAAGAGAGGACGACTGTGTTCTTTGTGCTTTGTTAGTTTGGTAGCAATGGATTGTTCATCTGCATAGATAGGCGTCTTCTTGGCTTTTATGTTTGGGAGTTGTGACGTGAGGTTAACTGGTTAACACAATATTCTGAACCCTGTCATATATCTTATTCCGCATACTTCATCTTTCTGGTCTATTATCTATCAGATGAGTATAGTTAATACTTGTTTCTTGTTTACCAGGGAAGCGAAATTCCACATTCTCATTACAAGCTACCAGCTACTAGTATCTGATGAGAAGCATTTTCGGCGTGTGAAATGGCAGTACATGGTATTAGATGAAGCCCAGGCAATCAAAAGTGCAAACAGGTTCTAATTATATTTTGAATCCGAGGTGCTTGAGTGAATGGCATGTATCATTATTGTTTCTGTTGAATATTTTTTTACAGAATAAATGCAGGAATGAGAGAGAAAGAGGGAGAAAGAAGGAGAATGAGAGAGAAATATTAAACAGAGAGAGAGACGAGAGAATTAGGAGAGAAGTTTCATTCCTTTCAACCCATATTCTCATAACCTAAGTACAGTCTACCCAACCCCTCATAATCATGAGCCTAAGCATTAACTAACTCCACTAATCCATTAACTAACTTCACTAACTAATCTCAACTTTGAGTGTCATTATTATGATTATATAACAGATTTCCTTGAAAGAACACTGTGATAGTTGTTTATTTGGATTGCATTGCTGAACGTTTATAATTTGTCTGTTTGTGATGTCGTTTGTGTGGTGATTACCGCCTTTAAAATTCTTTTTAATAATATTCTCATGTGTAAGTAATTCAATATCTGTGATCTGACAGTATAAGATGGAAGACACTCCTCAGTTTTAATTGTCGGAATCGCTTGCTGCTGACTGGTACACCAATTCAAAATAATATGGCAGAACTGTGGGCTCTTCTGCACTTCATTATGCCAACTTTATTCGATAGCCATGAACAGTTTAATGAATGGTTTTCAAAAGGGTATTTTCTGTTCATTTTAGTTGGTTGGACTTTTTTCATAGTGTAACTGTGGTCTAACAGTCTTTTATGGTCACATGCTAGAATTGAGAATCATGCAGAACATGGAGGTACTTTGAATGAACATCAACTTAACAGATTGGTAAGTTTGTATTTCTTGTTTGATATCTCTAATATGCTGATGTTTGAAATTCATTATTGTACCTTGCACTGTTGTGGTAAAGTAGGAATTCAGCTAAGATTTTTTCTATATTATTGGATGTTATTTATAATTATTGCTTTGCTCTTCGTGTCTGAGCTGTTCTTTGCTTGTACTCCTCTTAACTCTTTACCCCCTAACCTTTTGACTTCTCTTTTTTCTTATCCCGACAGCACTCTATTCTAAAGCCCTTCATGCTGCGACGAGTTAAAAAAGATGTAATATCCGAACTGACTAAGAAAATAGAGGTTACAGTGCACTGCAAGTTGAGTTCTCGCCAGCAAGCTTTCTATCAAGCAATCAAGAATAAAATATCTCTTGCTGAGTTGTTTGATAGTAATCGTGGGCAGCTCAATGATAAGAGAATTCTGAATTTAATGAATATTGTTATTCAACTAAGAAAGGTAGACAGTTCATTCATTGGAGGTTCTCTTTCATAAATTTTCTATTGATCAGTATAGTAATAGACAAGATATTTTGTTTTTAGCATCTGAGGTTCCTCTGTTCCCCCCACCCCCTCTATATCATCAATAATGCGCTTTAAACATGACAGGTTTGCAACCATCCAGAGTTGTTTGAGAGGAGCGAGGGAACCACATTCTATAATTTTGCAGAGATTCCAAATTCCCTCCTCCCTCCTCCATTTGGGGAGTTGGAGGATGTATACTTTTCTGGGGCTCACAATCCAATATCATACAAGGTACGGCATAAAAACCTTTCTTTTGTTCGGAGGAGTTCAATCTCATCATTCTTTCTTTTTCATCCCCCTCCCCCCTTTTATTTTCCTTTTTCTGCCTGACGCTGCCCTTAAATTTTAAAACACAAGCAATATAGCATTATAGTATGTTTGGTGCCGTTAAGCTTATATTGTGTAGTCTCAAATGATTTTTGTGTCTGTTTAAGTTCAGAATCGGTGACATTAATTTCATTCTTATTAAAATGTTATAGTTCCAATGAAAAATATGTGGTACCTTAGATAACTTTGCATGGTGTGTACAACTGAAATTTGCACTACATGTCTATTGCGGAGCAAGTTCATTCTGTGAATCAGGAATCTTTTCACATAAAAAAATAAAATTCATTCAGATCCTTGTCGTGGTGTTACTTGATTTTTTTTTTTTTTTTCCTTTTGGAGGCTTGTATGTGTAGTATTATCTCTTAACAAAGTTTTGTTTGTAAACTTGACTGCAGTTGGCTTTAGGTTAAGGGGAATTGAGGTAGGAAGAAGAAAAGTGATAGAGAGTAGATAAATGCTTCGTCACTTAGTTTTAATTTCTAATGGTGATTTTTTCTTTGGAATTTTGTTCTTGATCTATGCTTCTCTTTGAATGATCAAGTACATTTTGAATCTGATCTGTCAACTATTTTCAAGATTGATTCTACAACTTAAATTTGTGAGCCAAATAGGTGGGCCCTCCTCTCATTATGTTAATTATAGTTCTATATCCAAATTACTGATAAAATGTGAATCATGTCCCACATCTATATGCCATTTTTAATGTTGGTTTTTTTTCCTTTCTAGGTGCCAAAACTTGTCCATCAAGAAATCATGCCAGGTTCTAAATTGCTCAATTCAACAATTGCTCGTGGTGTTGGCAGAGAACTTTTTCAAAGACATTTTAATATTTATAGCCCGGAGAATGTTTTTCAATCTATCTTCTCTGAAGGGAATAAATCAAATGCGTCGTTTATTAAAAGTGGAACTTTTGGTTTTACCCATTTGATGGATTTGTCCCCGCAAGAAGTGATGTTTTCAGCTACTGGTTCTTTTATGGAGCAAGTACTGTTTTCTATGGTGAGATGGGAGCAGAAATTTATCAATGAAGTTGTGGACTTTGTAACGGAGACTTTAGATAATGATCCTGAATACAGTTCCCTTGAAAGGGGAAAAGTGAGGGCTGTTACACGAATGTTATTGGTGCCAACAAAATCTGAGACAAAAATTTTTCAAAGAACATTTGCTACTGGACCCAGCCATGCCCCTTTTGAGGCATTGGTTGTCCCATATCAAGATAGGATTATATCGAATGCAAGACTTATTCACTCAGCATACACATTTATCCCTCGGACTAGAGCTCCCCCAGTATGTTATGTTTCCTTACTATCTCATCCTCAGGCTTGATCTTGCAAAATGATCATTAATTGATGTCTGCATTTCTTCTTTTCAGATTGTTGCCCACTGCTCAGACCGAAGCTTCTCTTATAAAACACTTGAAGAGTTGCATGACCCATGGGTTAAGAGATTGCTTGTGGGATTTGCACGTACATCTGAGTTTAATGGACCTAGAAAGCCAGATGGTCCTCCCCATCATTTAATTCAAGAGATTGATTCTGAACTACCAGTTGCACAGCCTGCTCTTCAGTTAACCTACAAAATTTTAGGTTCGTCTCCCCCCATGCAAAATTTTGACCCAGCAAAGTTGCTCACTGTAAGTGCTGTATTTTCTTTATTTTTTATTGAGCGACCCCCTCTCCCCCCCACCCTCTCTGTCCTTCAACTTTCTTATTGAAGAGATTTTCTAAGGCATAGTTTTCACATAGGACTCTGGGAAGCTTCAAACGCTTGACATATTATTAAAACGCTTGCGGGCTGAAAATCACCGTGTTCTCTTGTTTGCTCAGATGACTAAGATGCTGAATATTCTTGAGGTATTACTGCATTTGTTACAATGTTGAACTTTTTGTCTCTTATCACATATATAAGTCTTCAGTCTTGTGTTCTTGTCACGTGGGCCTCTCATGTATGAGTTCTTTATTGTAATGGTTATGTAAAATCAGCATAGGATGAGATCTATGAATTGCAATTCTTTTCAACTAAAGCAAAAAAAAAAAAAAAATTTGAATATAGTGTTTTTAGGGGGAATGAGTAAAGTCGGTGATTTGAAAGTGGAAGTCCTTCCCCAGAGTTTGAGAACGACTTATATGGCAGCATGGTGCATAGTATTGTCCTTGTCTTGGTGCTTACTGTTTAAATTTGTTCGAGTTTTCATGCTGGCTACCATTCAATGCGACTTGCAGGACTACATGAACTATAGAAAATATAGATATTTTAGACTCGATGGATCGTCATCCATTCAGGACCGCAGAGACATGGTTAGAGACTTCCAGCAGAGGTAACGTCTTGCCATCTTGCAGGGATATACCCTATCCTAGTGAGGTTATTAAACGTTACTTATATGCAGTTGCTTGTTAAAGCATAACAGAGGAATGGATAAAATAGAAAACAAAGAGAAAATCCAAGTTAAAATTAACGGTGAAGGCCAAATGTAGGACAGACTGTTCAAGAAAAATCACATTTGATGCTACCAATTTGGCAACAGATGCCTAGGAGATCAATCTCTCCATATCAGCTCCAAAATAGAAGTCCATAATTCAGGAAGTTGACTGAGACAAATAACATATTCTAACATGATGACTTCTGAATGAAATCAAATCATGGGCACTCTTAACACTTATGATATTTGTAATTTTATGGTTGCAGGAATGATGTTTTTGTGTTCTTACTTAGTACAAGAGCTGGTGGATTGGGTATCAACTTGACGGCTGCTGACACAGTAATCTTTTATGAGAATGATTGGAATCCCACATTGGATCAGCAGGCAATGGATAGAGCTCATCGATTGGGTCAAACAAAAGATGTTAGCTTTCGCTTCCTCATTCCCTCTCCATCATGTGCATTGCATAATTGATTAAATGAGCGTCGCACTTATGTTAGAGACCAATCAATACGGTTGCTTGGTGGCCGCGGGAATGTTTGGTATGAAGAGGAAGGAAATGGAAAATGGTGAATTAAAATTTTTTTAAAAAAAACACAAATTACCCAAAACACCCCTATCTATAATAATGTGTAATAAATCAAGTAAACCCAAAGAAATATAACATTATCATTTTAAATATTGAAAATATTAAACCTCATAATTTTACTTTATTTTTAATTAGCTCGTTGTAATTTTTTTTTTCTTTTTATTGGGTCCTTATAACTTTCCCAATTATAAATATTAGTCCATGTACTCATCATTTATTTATTTACAAGAGAAACGACTTCAGCTAATGAATAGCTGATGATTCACTTCAAGGGGTGGGGATAATTTGGTCTTCTCTCACATGGGAAAATATGTCCCCACCTAAGATGGAAGGAAGCCATTTTTCCCATGTTTATTTCTTCGTACCAAACGTGCATGATGATGGAAATGTGCCATTTTTCTTCTTCTGTAAATTTTCACAGCAAGCGGGCTGTTAAGTTTTAACCATGTCAGTGGTTCTGGATTAATGAATTAATTCGCTGGATCATTCGCCCTAATTACAGAGGAAGTAAAAGGTGCTGTTTGTTAGATCCAACCTGTTATTGAAAAGAACAACCTGCATGCTCCATTTACAAATTTACAAAATAAATAAATAGATGCACCAAGCAAATGCTCTCTCTTTGTACATTCTTTGCCTGCCTACGTGCCACAGTTGTTCCTTTCACTTTGTTTCACTTCCTGTGATCTTGCCCCTCTTTCTGTGAACACAAAAGCTTTGATTTTCTGGAGTATTACCATAGTTTATTTTGGTTTCAACTGATTTTATTTCATTTAAAATCTCGTAGGTCACTGTTTACAGACTTATATGTAAAGAGACAGTTGAAGAAAAGATTCTTCTTAGAGCAAGTCAGAAAAGCACTGTACAGAACCTCGTCATGACTGGTGGTTCTACTGATGATATTTTAGCTCCTGAGGATGTTGTATCTTTGCTTCTGGATGATGTGCAGTTAGAGCAGAAATTCAAAGAAATTCCTCTTCAGGTTGGTTGTGAATGTGGTCCCTAGAAAACGTTGACACAATGTTTATAATTGTTGATCACCAGTATGGGAAGGCGAAAGAAGGATGCTCAAACCAATTTTGAGAGGTCCTGATTGTAATTCCCCTCGTTTTATATACTTCCAGGTGAAGGATAAACAAAAGAGGAAACAAACTGTGAAGGGTATACGGGTAAATGAAGATGGTGATGCGTCTCTGGAAGATATAACAGACTCTGGAGCACAGGGCCCAGATAATGATATTCCTCTTGACCCAGAGGGATCAAAGCCCAGTAATAAAAAGGTAACCTGATAATTTATGAGATGTTGACTGGTTGGTGGTTTTTGGACAAATATTTGAGCCTCAAAACAATACTGCTGTTTAATCAGTACCGTTATTCACAATTTAAAATTGGAATAGTAAGAGAAATAAATTCCGTGCGGTCTTATTGACTAAATATTTTAGCTGTCATTATTTATGACCTGGCATATTTGATATCCGTTTAGGAACTAACGGACTTGAAATTTTGAAAAAGCTCAATCGTTTTGGTGGAGCCTAGTTTTGCTGGCTATGCAGGACAATACGTGACTAATGTAAATTTAGTTCATCTATTCATTGTGAAGGTAAATGGATGGAAGTTTATGGTGAATTTGTGTTGTAAACTTGCAGAGGAAGGCTGCCTCTGACAAGCAAACCGCATCAAGGGCAAAGAATTTTCAAAAGATGAATGAGTTTAGTAATACAATGCCGATGGACTATGAGGTGTATGATGCTACTCAAGGTACAGATCCAGTGGTCCAGAAACCCAAGAGACCAAAGAAGGCAAAGAAAGTTGGGAACGACAAGTTTGACGACTCTTTTGCTGGTACAGTCGATATATTCTCAGAGCAGACCCAATAGCCACTACTTCCACGTGATTTTAGTAACGGAGGTTCAAGGGCTGAAAGAGAGTAGGGGGAAAATGGGTCTTATGTTGTATGGTATCAACCGTTAGATTGGCGTTCTTTGGTGAGTTATAGGTTGCCTCCCTGGTTGATCCACAAATTCTGGTTCCCTTTTTCCTGCTTACATTTTGTACTGAGGCAAGGCAGGCGAAGAAGCTGTACATCCTTTACTTTGTGCATAGTGAATAGTGATAGTCTTAGATATGTGAGATTATAAATCCGCCCCTCTTGAACATTGTTGGGGCTTTGTACAGATTAGATTATCTTTGTTGTATTATTTGCCCCTGTAGGGGCACTAAAATGTAGTATTAAATTTGTCCTAATGTGTTGTTTTGTGACTTGTATTATTTTTTGCCAAGTAATTGGATTCACTTGAGTATGCCAGTTTTGATGATTATGACCGGCCTGTGTTGTTATTTTTTATCATAATATTTTTGAGGATAAAAAACCGTTGAGAAGAATCTTAAAAGCTGCACAATGGTTAAATTTTCATCGCGAGGCTTTTAAGGTTAAAAAAACAGGTTGTACTAAAAGCTTAAATTGCTTAAGGATTTCAAGTTTTAAAATCCAAATTATAATCCTTTTGGTTTTATATATAAGCTTTTAGTACCAACAGTTAAAATTAATTAAAAATAATAAATAGGTTGGACATGTAAATTTTTTTCTAAAATTTATTCTTATTCATTAATAGAGCAAATGAGAGACAATAAATTAAAAAAAATAATGAAAAAAATATATGGGAGTAATATTAAAGAAAGAAAATATTAAATTCAGTCAACTAAAAATAAAATAAAATGTTCAGACAAACTAAAAAATAAAAATTATATTTTAAATCAGACTTATTTTTAAAAGTGAAGCTTATATATAATATCAAAAGGAATATCTAATGGGCTGATTGGGCCGTGATGATATGTGTTGGGCGAGAATATAAAAGGGGATAAAAAGACACTCGCGCGTTAGTTTTATTATGCCAAAATTCGCTTTTAATAGCCATGTGTGAGAAAATGATTACATTTTGGTAGCGAAACAAACTGACTAACAATTTAACCAATTAACCAACTCAAAAAAATAGCAACTCAAGACGCAAGAGTCTTGGTATTCGTGAAGTGTTTTGCCCCCTTATAAAGACGGAGGTAGTGATATATTACATGAATCGTCATAAAATTAAGCCAATCTGTCCACAAAGTAAATTTATCTTTCAACTATGTATAAACACGCACTTGATGAGTTGATAACTGGCCTAGTCTAAGGAATGATAGTTTCCCAGATTTGAGGGCTTTATCACTTTATTTAATCATACACTTCTTTAGAATTCTACTAATATGCGAGTGAAGTTTGGGATAAGACCACGAAGAACCCCATCTCTTAAGCTTCATATCAAAATTTCTGTCTCTATAATATATCAACTAAAGCTCAAATTAGAAATACATCTCTCGATCCAATTCTTTCTGGTTATGGTCAATTACATTCCCCCATGCGGCAAGCACAATCTCAACATCAAACATGACAGTTAATAGTAGCGGGATGGGGGCGTAATGGTTACGTTCATTCAGACTGAGAGCAAAGAGGTCGAACCAAGAAAGAAAACTCAGCTGTACCATAAAAGTGTCATGAAGCAATAAAAAGGATCGCACCTCAGCCGTTATACTTAAATTTTCGTCAACAGAAGGGGTCTCTGTAACATGTGAACGCCAGACACAGGTTGAGGTACTTCATGATATCACGAAGACAAACCACCAAGAAAGAAGAAACATCTATACCTCCTATCATTTGCACACTACTATAGCCTGTGTATTATCTTAACACGTACTCCTTTTGTGTTGACCTAATGAGTATCTGTGATCAACTAAATCCCATTTGAACCACAATATCAAGCATAGCAGAAACGGGTTATCACTCGTCAGCATCAAAGTTTCAACCAAAAGTAAATTTACCAGCCACCGAGTATACGAGTTAATTGTTCCAACAAAGGTCCTTTTGCCATTCTGTAATATTTTTTCACGTTGTGCTGCTTTGCAATGACCCTCAAATTGTTCAATGTCAAGTTTTTCAAGCCCGCAGGCCTCAAAGCTGAAGTCCTATTATGAGAATCGACTGAGGAGCAGGACAAGCTATTCTGAGGATCTTCATGGTTTCCATTGACCATGACAACCGCATTTGATTTTGTTGAATCGATGGTAACAAGTGAATTTTGTGTACCTGCAGTGACTGTCGACTTGCAAACAACTCTTTTCTTTTGCAACTCTGAAAATTTGCTGTCATAAGGAACAACAGCATATTCAGTTATGTGCTGTTCCAGCTGCATTGATCTTTTAGCAACCTTACCGCTCAGCGAATCAATTAACTTGGCACCATCATTGCCAGCTCTTGACTTGCGTGGCCTCTTGCATGTAACTTTCAAGGATGAATTTGGAATAAGTTCCACATGATTTTCACCCGGTTTACTCGCAATGGGCTTCCTGGGGTCAACAGTAGGTTCAGGCTTAAGGCATAGCGCTTGTGATTTCGCTTTGTCAGTCAGCTGAGGCCCAGTAAATAGGGCACTTTTGGTTTGCAACTCTAACATTGAACTCAAACCAGAACTTTTAGCATTGACAAGGCTAGCACTCTGAAACTTCATTACATGCGGCAAACTTTTACGGTTCCATGATTCAGGAGCAGCAAGACACAATTTTTGAGCACCATCAACTTGAAGAGGATTTATTCCCTCACAATCTTGAGTTGAAGCATCCTTCATTTCTTTCTCGCTATCTCTTTGTGCAGTTTTTGGAGCAAAACCACGTTGCATTTTGTCAAAATTAGAACTTTCACTTTTCACTCGTTGGGAGGCACAAAAATTAGAATCAAGAAGCACATCTGCACTGACATCTTTGACAGTTTCACCTTCTTGCTGCAAAAGGAAAACATGAACTACAAACCCTGATGAACATTTTGACCAAAAAAAACCCTGATGAACATAAAACTCAAATAGACTGCTACCAATCTAACAAGTTAAAATTGATTAAAAGAGAAACAAGAGGGCTTTTTGTACCTTGATTTCTTTCAGAACAATTTCCTTGCCCTTGGAAGAAACAGAATTCAAGATTTGACCTTCGTCTATAGTTACAAGTTGGCTTCTTCTGACTTCCCCATTCACTAAAACTTTTGAATCGGATGTTCCCAGTAAATTCATTCCGTTAGAAGGACTAACTACACTCCTAATAGCCCCAAAATCAGCACTTCTCCAAACAATTTTAGCAAGCGGTTCCTTAAAAGAATAACCAATGTCAGGGTCTATTGCGGGTCCACTAAGTGAGAAATACAAGGAAAATCCAGTCACAGAGATTAAACGCAGCAATCTGAAGTATAACCAAAATAGAATCAAAGAACCCAACATAAAACAGATAAAAACCATGGAGGTTTGCTCCAGAATTATAATGGAGCCTAAATAATTGGCATATTCAGGCCTCCACAAAAACAAAACGAGGCTGACATTGCAAAAATAAAAGCAGGCAAACAGTCTAAGAGAGCTACAACGACCTCACCCATTTACTGGTATTTGTTCTCTTTTCTTTCGATTTTGAAAACTGAAAACAGGTTCCTAGTATCAGGCTATCCGCTGCCAGTACAAGGCTGTCCTTTTTTAACTCTGAATGCATCGTCACATTAGGAATACTTGACCGTTTCTTCTTATTGGACAAATTAATAATATTGTTCTAGTGAAGGGGCAGTGCCCAATATCAACATTTGACTTCTGATCATTGACAAAGATAACAAGGCTCAACTTCAAATCATTAGTTGCTATCATGACCTAAGTGTCAGAAAAAAAGAAACAGCGACGAATTAGAACTAAAATAAACAATTCTTATCCCAGATAGTGGATTCAATATTTGTCTCTTCCAGAGAAGAAAAAACTTGAGATGGCCATAATATCTCGAAGTAAAATTTTAGTTTTTGGAATTACAATTGGCATATTCATTCACAGAATTTTGGAAGAAAAATTTCAATATTATGAAGCTCTATGCAGTCCAGAGCATCATCATGGAATGCATAATCTTGCAAAGCATAGTTTGTATCACGTCAGATCTGATTAAAGAAGCATGACAAGAAGACAGCAAATCTTAAAAATGGCGATCATGAATGTAAGAAAAACGGTTTTAATTCAATTTTTAAAAATTATGATTCAAAATTCTTATTATTGGGAAAAATGAAGAAATTTCATGATTTAAACCTGGCCGCAATTATCTTGACAGTAGTCTCCTAGTGTACCCATTAATATTTCATCAAGTGTCCCAGCAGGTTCATTTCGTAATAGTAGCTGAATTCTATCACTATCAGGATGATCATTCTTCAAACTCCTTAGAGAGACATCAAGCCAATTGATTTTCTCAGTCAAAGCGTTACAACATATTTCAGGCCAATTTTTATGTTCGGCCCAGATTAATTCATTCTGCAGCGATGAGAGATCTTTTTCAAGTTCTTCAATTTCAGCATCCTCCTTTGTTATCAAATTTTTTAAAACCTGAATGCAAGACTTCTCATTCAAGGCTCGTTCTTCCATTATATCTGAAAGGAAAAACAAAACTCAGTAAATACAGGCCAATGATTATATATATATATATATATATATATCTCTCAAAGGAAGGCCAAAGAGATGCAGGGTAAAGGAATAAGAATATACCATGCTCGCAGTCGAAGTAAAAATCATATTGTCTTCCAAGATGCTCCGAGTCATTACTGTTGCGCACAGCTGAGAACAGAACAAATACATGCAAACTATTATGACATAGAAGACTTACGTACAACCCAGAAAACGAGCACTCCATATTGAACATTGATAATACAAAAACATAGAGACAAGATATAAAGAAATAGGAAACCTTCATCATGCGTTGAACTCCAAAGATCCCACGCCATGGATTGTGATTATATCCTGAAATGAAACTAATAACAATGAAGTATGTCTCAATTCCATGCAACTAACATTCGTCAACAATAGATGCCCACGTAGTAAATATGCATATTGAAAGGGAAAAATGCAATGCAGGCAGCTATACTAGAAAAGCCGACCTAAAGAACGAGATTTTTTTTTTGGGGGGGGGGGGGAAGCGTGTAAAGTTAGAGCCAACATTTTTAAAATATTGAAGTCTCTCTGGAAAATAGATGAATAAAAGAGAAAAATACGGCATGAATAATTCAACGTCTTCAGCCGAGAGTAGTATCACATCCCTCCCCAAAAACACCCGAGGAAGAACCCAGGAAAGGCAACGCGGATAGCATCCATGTAGCACTTGGTAAAGAAGGAAGCTGGATTAGCATGTTTGAGAAAATCACAAAGAACTGCCCAAGAATACTAGCTACCAATAACACAATATCGCAGTATAACAATATCAAGAACAAGAATAGAGAAAGTTTTAAAAACGTGAAGTGACTTACGATTACTGTGTTCACCAACCACGCTTACGGACATCAATTAATGAAGTATTAAGACCTGTTATCATTTATCGACCATAAGTACTTAAAACAATAAATGAGCATTCGAGTCCAGTTCTACAGAAGATCAAGAAGAGAAGATAGCTTACCGAACTGCACCAAGTAGACATGGCGAAACTGAGTTTCTTTAAAAACAAGTGTCTTCAAGGACAACAATTCATTTGCGGAAACCAAAAAGAACTAACAACAATTCTCCAGCGATGGATAACGGAAATGTAGCTATCGCAGGCGCAGCAATTCAACAAGAAGTCGGGATAGTCGACCGCGAATGACAGAGGAAAATGAGGAGGCTCCCCTTTGCGAGCTACACAATGAATTGCGCCTGAGAAACTAAGAGAATGTGAGGAGAATGTGAGCGTCTAGGGTTTCGTGTCTGTCGAAATTCAGAGCCGAAGAGAGAAAAGAAGAAAGAGTTTATTTTCAGCGCGAGAAGAAGCAGAGCATCCCAGAAAAAGCTGTTACTGAGAGTGATGGACGCACGGGGGGTAAGTTAGTAATAAGGGGGTTTTTGGTCGGGGCAAAATGGTGAAATAGAGAAAAGATGACGCAAGCCCATGGGTGATTACAATTGTTTGGATATGGGCCCGGATTAACCGGGCGATCTTATTCTGGGCTGCTTTCATATTCTCTTTTTCCAGCCAAATGGGGTCCATTACTTTAGACATAGAATATGAATCTTGCAGGAGCCATCAACAAGAATTGGTCCACTTGATAAGGAATCAGTTCATAACTTACAAGATTATAAGTTTAAATCCTACTATCAATTTGAAAACCTTGTTGATGAGCAATTTATAAATATTTCTGTACTTTTCTGTACCAAAAAAAAAAAATCTAGCAGGAGCTGAAGTCAATATTCTTTCAAATTTACAACTTGCTTAATATAAAGATTAATTAACTAATTTAAAAAAATTTAAAAAGTCAGTTAAATTTTATAATAAATTGACGTTGTCCTTTTTAAAAATAGCCTTATTAATCATATATGTTTGAATTAGTCATTAATAATAATTTCTTAACATATACAACTACTATAGAAATTACTTGATGGCAAAATAGATAAATATTGAAGATAAAGTGGATTGAGATTTTATATTTAGGATTAAATTGAATATCAAACTAGCTCTTATATTAAATATAGAAGATAGTATTATGAATAGAAAAGCCATACGGAGAGAATTATAATATACTACTTCAAGTCCTTAATATAAAACCTTGTCTGACTTTTGTTTTAGTTCTAAATATAAGACCCCAATCTATTTTGTCTCTCATATTTATACTTTTTTTTTCAAGATAGTCCTTGTAACAATAATAGTTTTAGCTAATACACTTGATTAGTAAGGATATTTTAGGAAAGATAACACCTATTTATCACAAATAACTAACTTAACTTTTTTTTTAATCTTCTCAAATTAATCAACTAGCTCTTATAAATAGGACCGGAGGTAGTACAACCTAAAACATTTTAAATCAAAATACGATTATAGTGGCGGGTGAGCTTAGCTAACGGAAAAAATGAAGAGGAAGCATGGTCAGCCGTCAGCGGCAAATTTTGGGCCAAAGCAAAAACTCAGTGGACTTAATATTGACTGAAAATGGCCAGACGGTGCTCCTCCTATGATACTCGTAGAGGAAAAAACATTTTTATTTTAAATATAAATTATTTTATTATTTTTATTATATGAATGTATAATTTTAATATATATTAAATAGAAATAAAATAAAAAATATATTAAATTTTAAAATAAAAGCAGGACAAATAAGGCATGCGTGCGGGAGACCGAGAGCCTAAGAAGACACAGGTGATGACGTCGCCCGCAGCCCTCTCCGGTCATTGCCTTTGTTTTTATCAAGGGAAAATAACAAAATATCTCATTTGAGAAAATTATTTCCTTTTTTTTGGCAGGCGAAAAAATTATTTCTTAATTCTAAGATTACCTTATTATTAATAAACTTTTTAAACAACCTGAAAGAAACGCATAAGTAAGTTGCGAATTTTTCTCAATTTCATTTGCCCGATTTAGAAGAGGACTTCAGCAGATGTTTTTCCTTTCCAATACACCGGAAGTAGCTTCAGCAGATGTATTATAATAAGAAATAAGTCAAATAACTTAATTTTAAGGGCTCGATTGATAAATCATTTTTACACTTAATTTTCTATGCTTTCTATATGAATTCCATCTGTTACTGCTATGACTTGTGAAGCAGCGCCGCATTGCTTTTATATATTAATAAAAGAAAAATTATATTTTTACATGTATATATAGTAAAGTATGCCCATCACAAATGTTATGTGAATGATAGTGGGCAGCATTTTTTATGAGAGAATTACAATAAGGTCTCAAAAAAAGAAAAAAATTACAAAAAAAGTTATAGATATTGTTATTATTCACTCTAGAACTTGTCAGCTGCTCAAGTTATTATTGAGATCTTTAGTTAATTATTTTTCTTCTTTGAGATTTGATTGTAATTCTTTTTTTTTAATTTATTTATGAAGCAAAATTAATTAAAATATGGGAAATTTGGTAAAATATTCCTGTTTGAAAACTTAGTTGGCTAAAAGATCCGAAATTTAACGCATGCAACTATGATCAGTAAATACAACTTCTCTTCTACTATATGCAAATGACTTCTGCTATCTTTCATATTTATCTTTTTTTTTTAAAATAAAGCCCTGTAATAATTGTACATGTTAAAGATTTTAACTAATACACATGACTAGTAAGGATATTTTAGGAAAAAAAAACACATATTTAGTTAATTAACTCTTATATTAAAGAGCGAAGGCACTAGTTTTTTCCCCTCTTTTCAATCTGACTGTTGTTAATGTTTCTATGTGCTTCATTCTCGGCTGAAACTTACGAGTATACTACGAAGTAACACTGGAATGAATTTCACGTTAAAGTTCACCTGGTGCTGCTGCTGTCGTTTTCTTTTTCAGCGTCGGCCAAATATACAGATGTACTAAACCGGACAAGACCCAAGGGTGAAGGAAGGATATATGGAAGTAAATCTCCTGAAGTTCCAATGTTTGAAGCTTTTTGGAAATTGGAATTTTCAATGTAAAGCAGACCCATTTTACATTATATGTGTGGGTGAATTTGATCTTGCGCATGCTAGTTGTTTCTTTTTTTTTTTTTTTTTAAACGTATAGGACACGCCTGCTCTGTTGGAACTCATGAACTTCTGATGTAGACACACAGAATCCTATTCTAGGATGGAAGCATGGTAGCTTATTATTATTAATAAAATGCTTACATTGAATATCAAACTTTCCTTCTGTTCTAATAAAGAATAGGTCCAGTAACCAAGAACATACATTTATTTTACATATTCAGGTTATCCAGGTTTAAATTTACAGGAGAGTTACTTTCGAGTGTGTCTGAATGCTTAAATATTAATGATCTCTCTTGAGCTATGCTAGCTGTTGTGGATCAGAAGGTAATTGTTCGTAACCATCATGATGTTGGAATATTATTGCATCTCTTTCAATTGGGATGCACTTGACAATGGCAGATATTGGCATGCTGATTGCTCCAATCACAATACTGAGTAACCAGAGTTTCCAGCTCAGAGGCACTGTGCTAGCAAATTTGCCCAGAAACTCAACTATGATTACTTGAAATCCCACAGTTAGGAAAATTATCCCTATAAATAACCAGCTCTTAGTTATGCCTCTGAACACGTTTATCTTTTCTATATCTCTGCTGTTTATCTCATTGAACACCTGCCATAATAACAAGAACCATAGAGAACACCAAATACGATCCTCTATATATCATTTCTATAATATATTATGGAGATTTTCAGACGTAATCCATGGATCAGGCAAGAACAATTCACTTTCTGGGTACGTACCTGGCAAAAAACAAAGGAGTTGAATATCAGAGTGTTGAGGACAAAAGTTGCATTTGATGCACCGGTAATTCTGAGAAGCCTCTTGCCATCAAAATTGAGAACGCCAAGGACAATTAACTGATATATACTTTGTCCCATGATATTCCTCCACATGGTTTTGGTGATAAAAGTTGCCCCCTTGGCAACTGGGGGTCTTCTCATAAGCCCATCATGAGGAGGCTCAGTGGCTAGGGCCAGAGCCCCCAGAGTGTCCATAATCATGTTCACCCATAGTAACTGCAGAGCTGTTAGTGGCGTAGATCCTGAAGTAAAGCAGAAAAGAAAAAAACTAGAACTCATGCTGCTTTTCACTCAGAACCGTCTAAAGGCATTGATCAATAAAGGAAATCAAAGTTTATACACCGAAAAAAACAAACCAACCTGTGATGCATGCAGAAACAAAGTTGATGACAAGAGCAACAACATTTGCTGTTAACTGAAACTGGACAAATTTTTGAATGTTCAAGTATACCGCCCGTCCCCACCTGGCCACTCTCACAATTGTGTTGAAGTTATCATCCATTATGATCACATCTGCATTTTGTTTGGCAACCTGCATAAAAAGAGAAACATATTGGATTAATAAAACCCATTATTATGATCACGTCTATGCATTTTCTTTGGCAAACCAAACAAGAAACTCTTGTATGGATAAATACAAACCTCAGTTCCAGCGATTCCCATGGCAAGTCCAATATCTGCTTCATGCAGTGCCGGAGCATCGTTGGTTCCATCGCCTGTAACAGCAACGACTTCACCGAACGTATTCCTCAGATGGGATACCAAAGTATGCTTATCAAGCGGCAAGGACCGTGCCATGACCTATAAATCACAATTAAGCTCGTAAGAAAGATTATGAGCATTCTCAAAACAAGAGATGTAAAGAAAATTGAAGACTAAAATGGAATCAGAACCTGGATTCTTGGAATCAAATGCTTTATTTGTTCAGGCGACAAGTTTCGAAATTCTCCTCCTTCTATGGCTATACCATCCTCGGTGAGGATGCCACATTCTTTTGCTATGGCCTTAGCTGTATGTATGTTATCACCAGTGACCATACGAACTGATATTCCGGCTGCTAAACAAGTTTGGACGGCGTTCTTGACCTCAGGGCGCACAGGATCTTTGATTCCTACAATGGCTATAAGTGTGTAGCCATTATCAGGGATACTTGTTTTCTCTTGGTTTTCATTTATATCTTTCACAGCCAAACAAAGAGTTCTTAAAGCTTCCGAGGCGAAATTGTTTATAACATCAGAAATATTCTTTGCTGGGCCTTCAACAAGATTAATGGTTTCTCCATTGCAATCAATAAACTTGTCACACGTTTGTAATATTATCTCTGATGCACCTTTGCAGAAAGCTCGTGTCCCTCCTCCTTCAGGAAGATCCACAAGAACTGACATCTTCTTTCGAACTGAATTAAAGGGTTCAATCTCAAGTATCCTATAATATCTGCGCTGGGCATCAAAATCACCACCCAAAAGCAAGCCAAATTCCAATAATGCCGATTCTGTTGGTGTTCCCAGTATTGTGTTCTTGCCATCTCTATCCTTAACTACTTCAGAAGAAGTATTTTGAAATATAGCTTGCAGAAGGACGTCTAGAACTCCTTCAGATATCTCTTCTTTAAGTTCAGTTCCACTTTCATTGCCTTTTATTTCCATGGATTTTTCACATACCCATATTTTATCAACCGCCATATGGTTAGTGGTTAATGTCCCTGTCTTATCTGTGCAAATGGAACTGGCTGAACCCATTGTCTCACACGCAGAAAGATGCCTCACAAGTGCCCTTTCGTTCATTAATTCTTTCATTGCAAAAGCTAAGCTAAGTGTCACCGCCAAAGGTAATCCTTCTGGAACAGCAACAACTATTATTGTAACAGAAATAGCAAAAAAGTTTAGCAGCTTTATTGCATCATTCGATGACCATTGAGTAATATCACCATGAATTGCCTTTTCCACCAAAAACCTTGTTGTTAGCACCAAAAATGTCAGCACTGCGAAAGTCAAACCAATCTTACCAATAATTGTAGCAACCCCATTTAATTTTACTTGCAATGGGGTCTCATCTTCTCCCCCTTCGTTCAAAGTTTCCATTAGTTTTCCCCATTCAGTCCTCATGCCAACGCCTGTCACTAACATTTTCCCTTGGCCATCTTGCACTTTGGTTCCTGAAAGAAGAAATGGTTTGTCTTCATGCACATTTACTGGTTCGCTCTCACCTGTCAAGCTAGATTCATCAACCAACAAGCTATATCCAGATATGTAAATCCCATCAGCTGGAACTTGATCTCCAGTTGCCAGATAAACAATATCTCCGACTACCACGTCATAAATTGATATCTTTTGTCTTCTTTTGTTTCTAACGACATGGACGAAGATTTTCTTCTTCTCGTTGTCTAAAGCCCTGAACTGTAAGGATTGCTGGTAGTCACTAACAGAAGTAACAGTGACTACCAAAAGCACACTGAGTATAATTCCTAAACCATCGTACATACCCCGGGCAATTGTTCAGCACAAACCATTAATCATGATCATCCTGGGATGTGGTAACGATTCCCTCTTGGTTTTGAGCTGGACCACCTGCTGCATGAGAGAGCAGATGTAATACGATTACATGCATGGAAAGAATAAGTAATTAGACTTTGATTTCCAAGGCAAAGGTGCGAGCTTTTATCATACCGCTAATAAAGTGCAGTGCTGCCTTTTGAACAAAGAGAGCAAGTCGAACTTTATCCTGGATTGATTAAATAAGAATAAGAATTAATATAATACGAATTTTGATGATAACAATAAATCACTCTATCGGTCGGCAAAAGAAGGATAGTAAAATAATGTTATTTATACTAAATCCTATACAATATGCAACGTAATAAAAACATGTTATATATGATATACGCAGTTATCATGAGTTATGGCTGGTCGAAAAAAAGTTATCATGAGTTATGCTGTTATAAATTTCGAATAGCAAAAATTTCTTTCAGCAGTAATTTAAACAATAGTTAGACACTAGCTAGTCTCTTTCGAATGGCAAAATTTGGCTTGAGCAGGGAGGGCTTTTAAATGGGATCACATTTCTTGTTCATAAAAAAAATAGCATGAAATACCCATTCTAGTCTAAACCATTCAAATTGATTTCGGATGGTTTTGATTTAATTATTTTTTATATTTTAAATAATTTTTCATTTTAATAAATATATAATTTAAAATTAAGATAATATTATAACATACACTTCTTAAAAATTAAATATATCATTGAAAAATGTTATATTAAAAATTTTAAATTTAAACTGTTTAAATAAAATTTTAAATTGGTTAAATTTCATTATAATGATGAGATGATGCCAGCACATTGACGTGATCACATGCAATTGAACGAGAAATCATGCTGACGTGGCATAGGCACATTCCACACGGACAATACGCGTCAAGACCGGGTACAAGTCAATTGTGAATGCTAAACTACTGACCAAAAAGTTGTCAACTTGGAAGAACCCGGTTTTGTCTGAAATTTCTTACACACAAGTCACGTCTACTTTAAAAAGTATGAAACACGACAGAGCAATTTGATAAGCCATAGACAGATTTTCAAATACCATTTCATGAGGTGTGTATGGACTTTCAAATTCTTCCAACATATTTATCTTATTTTTTATATAAATCACGGTTAAAAAAACTGTTCATAAACTATTCTAAACCAAACGTGTTAATTGGGCGAACGCTAATAGGACCATCTCCGAGACACGAAGGCTAAAATCCCTACTTATTATTACTAAATCTTATTGCTAAAAAAAATTCCCGTCGCAACCACAAAGGCCAAAAAACAAAGGAGCAGGTATAATAATAATAATAATAATAAACTCCATGCGAAGAATTTCAACGGCTACCAACTCCCTTCTGAATCATTAGCATTTCATCTTATATTTACGTCCGTTACGTAATCAATAGCTTTTACACATCCGTTACGGAATCAAAATCAATAACGTCAGTACGTACTTGTAACATGTTCGAATGAAACACGCTATATTTCCAAACTGTTTTAATGTTTATATCATATTTTTTTGACCAAGAATGTTTATATCATATTGCAAATGCAAGGCAAGGGGACTTATTATTCTCGTCATGGGTAATTGTGTCTTCATCCTTATTGCGGCAAGTACCATGACGACGACAACTGAAATTTCTCCGAAGTTTCCTTTCGTGCGTTCAATGTTTCAACATATGCCATATACTACTATATTATTGGCTACCGATATGTGTCTCACATGGGTAGCTTTCAAGGTTACCCATAACGTGATGCAATAAATGCGAATTGTGAAGTGTGAACACACATCCGGTCAAAAAAAAAAAAGTGTGAACACATAATCAAGTACTCTTTTCGTTACTTATTATAAGAGACATTTAATACTTATGGCATATTCCTATATATAAAAGACATTTAAAAGTTGTCTCTACTTTTTTGTGTTGATTTCCTATTTTACCCATATTTATTGTCTCCAACTCACACTTTCTCTCCCTCCCACTTCTCTTTCTTTTAATAATTTAATTGTTCTCTCTCATGTTCTCTCTCCTTATTAATGAGGGCATTTTTGGAAAAAAAAATTATACTTTTTATACATTAATTGTTCTTAACTAATTTTAACTATTTTTTTAATCAACGTGCTTCGGTTATTTGTCTCTTATAATAAAGAACGGAGGGAGTAATTTCTAGTAAAATATTATAATTCTCACAACGTCCCGACAAAATTTACCTACTTTAGTGATATTCCCTCCGTTCCTTATTATAAGAGACAAATAACCAAATTACGTTGATCAAAAAAACAGTTAAAGTTAGTTGAGGACAATTAATGTGTAAAAAGTATAATATTTTTTCCAACAATGCCCCCATTAATAAGGAGAGAGAGTATGAGAGAGAATAATTAAATTATTAAAAGAAAGAGAAGTGGGAGGGAGAGAGAGTATGAGTTGGACACAAAATAAATAGGGATAAAATAGGAAATCAATACAAAAAAATAGACACAACTTTTAAGTGTCTCTTATATATAGAAACATGCTATAAGCATCAAATGTCTCTTATAATAAGGAACGGAGGGAGTACAATGATAAGAGCAGAAACATGAGAAAAATATGTTTTCACTTGATGCTTTATTATGATGCGCTACTACGTTTTAAGTACAAAAATATCGTGTTTTTTTTTTCACCATGAAAAATGTCTCATTTAAATACGGACAACCTGTAAGCCAGAAATGAAACCACCACTGACTTAAAAAAAAAAAAAAAGAAGCTAAGATGCCATTTATTTTTAATAAAACTTTATAAAATGTTTGAAATAAATAAAAGTCAATCCCTTGTAGTTGTTCCATTTGAACAGAACCAGTCTGGGTGGTTGTTAAGATGATGAGCACCCAGGTTTATCAGATTTGAACGCCTTCAAATCTAATTTAAAGGGTTTTGATTTAAAATTTTTAACTAATCATTTTTAAATAGAAAAATTTCTGTTTTAAAAAATAATAGTTAAAATATTATTTTATATTAGATTTTACACCTGTTAAAATAATTATTTTAAATAAATAAAAACAAAAAGTAAATTAAATTTCAACTGTACAAATTAGATTTAAACGGCTCAAATTTAATGAGCTTGGATGCTCAAGCACTCAAACTGATTTTTGTTTAAACATGAGACCTAAGTTCACATTAAAATGAATATAGAAAATATTTTTACGAGAGTTATTTCTACTAAAATTTAACGATGCGGAGCCAGTCAATAGACAAACAAAAGAAGTCCATCTCAATTTCAATTAGATTGAAGAGGAGCACCGGCCAAAATGGAGAGAAAAAAACAGAAAGCTTGAACGTCTATATAGTGCCCTATTGCATCCCTCACGCATAAGGAATTGGAATTTTGAGGCCTATAACTAATAAAAACTGGTTCACGGAAGTTACAGCTGCAAACGCAGATGTCGATTTTGAAACTGCCAAATAGCCCAAAAATGTTGTAATATCTCATTTTCATGGAATAAAACTTAAAGAGGTGTTTGGGTAACCCCATAGTCACTGTTCAGAAATACTTTTTCACAAATTAAAACAAATTTCTCTACATATTTACTTTGTATATCGTAAAAATATTTCTGAAATCATGGTTTTGTTCTTACCCAAATACCTTTTTAGAGAAAGAGACTGAACAATCAAATTTAGTTTAATTTAATTTGAGGAGACGAATATAATTATTTTTTTAATCAAATATTTTTTTGAAACGATTATATACTGTTGAGAAGTTCATTATGAGCACAAAGGTTAATGGAATTACCTCTCTTTTTTTCCCCCCTGTGATGATGGATTCGTTTTGGTTTTGGAACGAGAACCTCATCACACTGAAGACCGAACTTATCTATCTATCCGGAGAAAGGCGAAAAGAAACGGCGTGGGTAAAAAGATGAAGCAGAGGGAAGAAATGGAGGGAACCTGAATTAGCTTCCTTGTTTGTTCAGCTTCGGAACGTTTCTGGAGATCTGGGACCATGCGGAAGCGTCTGCGGTGGTTCTTTACCAACGCCACGGCGGATCTCCATCGCTTCGAAGCTTCAATAGATGGTTTCTTGTGCTCGATAACGAAATCTTTCAACAGACTCTCCATTTGTGTACTCTCACTCTAACGGATTTGCAGATTATAAAGTAAATCCATATTATCCTAGCTAATAACTACGTGCGCGCTCATGTCTGTGTGTATATATATGAGTTCAGATTTACAATCTCACATCCAATAATTAGTTGGGCTTTTCAACCGCAATTTACAAAATGTAAAATAAATATATAAGAAAAACTTTATCTTATCTTACGTGAAATGTATTTATAAGTAATTTCAAATCCTAATTCAAATAGGGCCTAAGTGTCATTTGCACTGTTAAGAGCTGGATGTTAAATTGTTTTATGATTAATATAATTTTTTATCCTTTAAGTTTTTTTGAATTTTGATTTTGGTCACTCGAGCTTATTAGTTCTTATAATTTAATAAAAATCTAAACTATTTTGTTCATTAAAAGAGTAAAACCTATAATTTGTAACTTGATGAACTAAAACAAAAATTTGTGCAAACTTGAAGGACCAAAATTTCTATTAGCCCTATATATAATTATAAGATGTTAATTTAATTCCTTTTTTGACATAAAAAGATGTTAATTTCATTGCATAATCACTGGGGGAATCTCGTATATAATTAATTATTTTTCATTCATGATTCTATCTATTTATAAACTGACCTATATATATATATAAGTAAGAATGGATGATGATAATAGGAAAACTGCATAAATAGAAAGAATTTATTTTTAATCCTTTAACTATATACAATATTTTAATTCAGTATATTAATTTTAAAAAATATATTTTTAATCTTTTAAATTTAATTTTCAAAATAAGTAAATAACCATAATTATTAAAAAAAATTATTATTAAACACTAACAATTTTAAGATTACAAAACTTAAAATATATATACTACATCCGATTTTTAATGTAAGAGTTAGTTGACTAATTTGAGGAGATTAAGGAAACTAGTTATGTTAATTATTTGTAATAAATAAGTTTTTTTTTCTAAAATATTCTTACTAATTAAGTATATTGGTGAAAACTATCGTTATTACAAGGACTAGCTTAATAAAATAGATAAATATAAGAGACAAAATGAATTGAGATTTTATATTTAGGACCAAAAGAAAAATCAAACGAGATCTTGTATTAAAGAGCGGAGCTAATATCTTTTTAAAATTAAAGGATCAAATTCACACTTCTGCCAAAAATTAATTATTCTTTTATGTGTACAGAGAAAAATCCCGTGTTTTTAGGGTCAACCGCTTTTTTATTTTTAATGGATAGACAAATAAAATACCCCTTCAACGGCCTGACTTGATTGGCACGAAATAAAAAAATCCTCACCAATCACGACCCCACTCCGGAGCCGGACTTCTGGCTCACTTTTGCGCATTTGGCCTCATTACTAATTCCTGACTCGTTAATTTCCTTTCCGATGTTCAAATTTGATTTCCCGAGGATTTATGGGTTTTCCCAGCACACTAATGGTATCGTTTTGTTGTTGGAACACGGCGATTGATCTACGGATTGGGAGGTGAGGGGTTGTTCTTCATGACATGACCGCGATGATGAAGTCTCTCGGCAAAACACTATCGATCGATGAAGAAGAACCCTACTTTTCGTCCAGTTCGGTGCCCATGTTGCATTTTAGGTTTAAGGATTTTGAGTGAATTAATTAGTTGTTTAGGCCGGATTTATATTTTCAGAAACAATTGATCTGGTACTTTTCTCTTCCCACGCGCATTTCGGTTTTCAGGTCTGTGAAATCCAAAGCTAATTGGAGATGAAATGGGAGCGGCATGAGCAATTGAAAAGAAGGGGAAATTGTGGGCAACAACTGGAATTAATTCGTGTTGAGGAGAATTTTGTAGGTGGAATAGTTCCCATCTTTTTTCCTTATGGAAAGGGAGGAATATGTGGGAATGACTCTAATCAGTGTTAGGGCTGAGCAATGGGCGGCCTGGGCTAACATTCGGGTTAGCCCAGCCCGCCCATTTATTCATAAACGGACATGGGCTAACCCATAACCCGGTAGTAGCCCATTTAGCCCATATTAAATGGGCTACGAGGCAGCCCGTTTGGGCTGACCGGATTATGGGGTAACCCATTTATTTTTTTAAATTTTTTTCAGTATAATTATTTTATATATGTAACCTTATGAAGCTGTCAATAAATTTTGCATGCCAAATAGCAAATCAAATATGAAATAACATTAACCATATTCAATCACACAACCTCACTTAGATTCGCAAACAATTAAAGTCTGATAAAATCATAAAAATAGTCACTAATCATAAAGTCTCATAAACTTTGAAAGTTCCAACTTTTACCTAAAGGATAAAATAAAAACTTAGACAAGTATGAAGGTTTGATAAAATATGAATGAGAAACAATATCATCAATTAAATGAAGAATAAAAATATTTTAAAAAACTTAAAACTTAAATGGACGGGTATGGGCAGCCCAATACCTTGCCCATAGCCCAACCCGTTTAATGGGCTACCCCACCCATTTAAGCCCGCCAGTTTATAATCTCTTATTTGGGCTAATTGGGCGGGCTTAAATGGGCAAAAAATTCATGGGTTATGAACGGGCTAGCGGGTAATGGGTTTGTTGCTCACCCCTAATCAGTGTTCATAAGTAGTATTGCGTTACAACAGAACAATACTTGAAGCCAAAGCATTCTTTGAAGTAAAATTTAAATTAGAAATAATGGACACGTATGGGAAGTAGGATTCAGATTTGGCACTGTGTTGAGACTTGAGAGGAAAAAATTGTTTGAAGAGTTGCTGATCACATATATGTTGAGATAGGATATTTGAAAATCTGTCTTGGTTATGTAAAGTCTGGTTTGGCAGGTATTTGATGAAATTAGGAGCATTGCATCTTTTGGATGGCTGTGACACATGCATTTTATATACACACATCTATTAAAAATATAAAATGTGGCTAGAAAGATGCCCACATGTAGTGTTCGACAGTGACTCGAATAAAATTGTCTTTAATAGGAAGATAAGCGTGTTTTAAAAAAATAAAGGTAAGACTCGATTTTAAATTCATAAAATGATGTAAGAAGTATATGTTGTAGGAGCACATGAATCATATTGTACGTCCGTTGCCTCCTCAGTACACAGGGGTATATTTATTGGGCCTATTTTTGGGCCAATTATCGGGCCTAAACAGGATTTTATACAGATAAAAAAACAGTATTTTGAATGAAAAGTATTTTGTTAACACATTAAAAAATCTGCAGGACTCGCTAAAAAAGAGAGTGAATTGGGAAAAAAAAAATAAATTTATGGATAGATAAAATCACCGTAGGAGAGTTAGCTTTAACTCAAGTTGGATACATCACATAGTGGTTGTATGAGAGAGGGAAGAAATTAGGGAAAATTACACTCAGGTCCCACATAACATAATTAATATCAAAAAAGTCTCTGGAAATTGCAAAATAATTCTGAAGTCTCTAGGGACCTATGTGTAATTAATTCTAATTGTGAAATTACCTACTTACCCTTGTTAATTTGAACCTATTTACAACCTCAATAGTGGCTGTTAACAACCCAAGAAAAGGTGGTTAACAACCTCAGCAACGCCCCTGGCATCCCACAGAGTGAGTTGTCAGGAGCACTGCCGAGGTTGTCAATCACTTCTTCTCGGGTTGTCAACAATTATCCCACAGAGTGAGTTGTCATGAGCACTGTCAAGGTTGTTAATCACTTCTTCTTGGGATGTCAACAGCCACTGTTGAGGTTGTAAATAAATTGTTGCAATAAAATTAACAGGGGTAAGTAGGTAATTTCACAATTAGAATTAATTACACCCAGGTCCCTAAGGACTTCAAAATCATTTCGCGATTTCCAGGGACTTTGTTGATATTAATTGTGCTCCATGGGACCTGAGTGTAATTTTCCCAAGAAATTATCAAGTTGTACTGTGTGGCGTGCATGGTGGGTATCCATTGTGAATGCCGACTCAGAGAGTAGAATAGTAGATTGCAGGTGCAGGTGCAGGTGCACTTGCACATGCACGTGGTCGCAGCAATTAGATATGGTGGGTATAGACTGGCAAGAGAAAAAAGTATGGTGGGTATGGACTGCGAATTAAAAAAAAAAAAGGAAATTATTAGAGTCTCACAAAATTGAGTCATTGTTTGGAAGAATAATAACTCCTTAAAAAATAAGTCGTAAATTTATCAATTTAACTCATAAATATTTTGGCTAAAAAAAACTCACAAATATTGAAAGGTGATTTTTGAAAAAAAAAATCAAAAAATCATCCTTTGATGATTTACAAATCCTCCTCCAATATTTGGGAGTCAATTTAAAGAAATTTTAATTTATTATGTGTGTTTGGGTGTGTTTAGTTACAGGGGAGAGGAGGGGAGGGGAGGGAAAATGAGCCCCTCCCCTCCCCTCCCCTCCCCTCCCCTCCCTCCTTCCATTTTAGCTCCCCTCCAAATTGGAGGTTTTTGGAGGGGAGCTAAATTTTTGGACTATTATACTTTTATGATTTTTTTAATATTCTACAATCATCCATAAAATATGTTATTATAATATTGATTTTAAATAAAAAATATATTATCCTAAGTAAAAAATAAAAATATAAATTATTATAATTAAAAAATATAATATAATAAAAATTAATATAAATTATTATAAAAATAAAAAATTATAATAATATAAAATTAATTATTTTTTATAAATATATTATTTATTAAATATATTTTAAAGCTGGAAAAAGGCATAGCCTAAAGAGAATAAAATTTCAATTTTTTTAGAGCATATAAAATTTGTTAATTTGATTATTTCAAATATATTATTATATTAATTAGAATTAAAAAAATACTATACCAATTTTTTAATGCACATATTAACATGATAAGATTGAATTTTTATTAAATTATATGATTTAAATTAAGATGTAAATTAATTTATATAATATATCAATAAAAAATATAAACTAATATGTCAGGGTAAAATGGTAAATTAATTACTATCATACCTTCCTTCCTCTTCTTGAACCAAACAAGGAATCATTAAATATCCCTCCTTCCCTCCTTTTTGATCAAACCAAACAAGGAGAGGATGAAACCTTCCCCCTCCCTCCCTTCAAACCAAACAGGCCCTAAGTTTTATACAACATACAAGTTCTTTTAAAAACTCATTACCAATAACTCAATTTCAATTTCCAAGGATTGGGTAGGTTTCCGTCCAAAAACATACTATTTCAGTCCTAATTAGAAGATCCTGTTTATAGATTATTAATAGGGTCTTATAATTCAAACTAAAGGTAATATGAATATCATGAGGCTTATTCTGGCTAAACAGAAAAAGCCGGGAAAAAATGGCATAAAGGACAATACTTTTATCATCTTTAATATAAAACTTAACTAATTTGAGTAACTTAAGGATATTAGTTTAATTAGTTAATATAATATGTTTTTTTTAAATATTCTAAATATATTTCTTAATTCTTTTCCTTCTTTTCGTGCTTAATTACTGTTGGAGAAATATTAATAAAATTAATTTAAAAAAAATTAATAAACATGTAATGTAGGCGAATTAGTATCAATTTTCTGGTCTGACATAACTATTTAAGCTACACGTGAACCTTTTAAAACTTTTGTGGGCGTAGCGCCGAATTTTTTTCCCCACCTCATCGCTTGCTTCTGTGAAAACCAAAAAGAACGGTCCCTTGAGAGTGTGAGATAGTGGAGAATGGCAAAAATATATAAAGATGAAAATAGTAGGAACTATGGTAAAGCAAACCTATGATTTGATCATTTTTATACTGTAACTGAGATGTCAAATGAAAATTGTCAATGTCGAAGGATAGTCATGAATTTCTGAAGCTTAGAACTTATATTATGCCCCCACTTGACTAGTCAAGGGAAAATGCTGAAGAAATCAAGATCTGGATGACAGGATAGGAAATGCAATAGAAAATAATAATAGATGCTCGTTGAAGAAACTTTCAATGGGACACAGTAAAGGCAGAGCCTTGTGGGGGCTAAGGCTATTCTGACCTTCATACCTGCGTACACAACGAAAGCTGCCTCATTTCCGTTCGATAACATCGTTTGGCGGGTAAGGCGTAGTAAAAGCAGGACCATACTCTATCTAGTGATATGAGCAATGAAAGTGTCCATTTCCAAACATGAATCTCCTCCTTCCTTCATTGACCACCGGACAGCATTTTCGAGGTTCATTGCCCTCTTTCTCATTTCATCACCTTCCTTTGTTGTCATCAATCTCCTCACAGCATTCTCAATATCTGAGGCAGTAACAATCTCATCTCTGCGATCCCAGTCCTTCACAACCAAACCAACCTTGAGCACTTCTGTCATCAGAACTCTATTCCTTGGCTGGTCCGAGTGCATTGGCCATGCTGCTATTGGCACCCCCATAGTGATGCTCTCCATGCTCGAATTCCACCCACAATGACTCATAAACCCTCCCGTTGAAGGGTGGCTTAGAATTTCCAACTGGGGTGCCCAGTTTCTCACAATTAATCCAATGCCTTCAGTTCTCTCTTCAAATCCCCTTGGAAGCTCAGCTCTCCTAGCTTCTCCGTTAAAGACGTCACCTTTATCAGCGTCTCTTAGTACCCAGATGAACTTTTGCTCGCTTCGTTCCAATCCGATCGCAAGCTGTTTGATTTGCTCCTCCGTGAAGGCTGTTGTAGTCCCAAAAGATACATATATCACTGACTTTGGTTTCTGTTTATCCAGCCACTCCAAGCTTAAGTGCCTTGCTTTATTACTTTTCTTCTCAATGGTCAAAGGGTTGAGCGGTCCTAGAGCCCAGTGCTTCTTGCTACCGCTGATTCGTTCTATTAGCTCCATGTATGGACCTTCTACTGCCCTGTTTGTGTTGTAAATGTACCCTTCATTGAATTTATGGAATATATACTGTGAAGCAATGAAATCTAGGAATTGGGTTGGGAAGCATCCTTCAAGAGAAGGAACTTCTTTGGGGATATGAGTGCTGTCTATCAAAGGTTTTCCCATTCCCTCCCAGAGATACAAGAACATGGTAAAGGCAGAGACGCTGTGAAAAGTGTAATTCTCAGCATTTGCAATGTCAGTGGCATCTTGCACCACAGACGCCATTAGGGAGTCATGGATCACAATAACCCTTCTAGCTGCAGACGAAAGGGATCGCAGAAGAGCTGCCACTGGTTCACGTAGATGTGAGGAGGCCTCAAAGGAAGGAAGGAGATGAGAAGGGAACTTGGTTTCTGCATTGGGGTTGGGAAGAGGAGTAACAAAAGAAGGAATATTGAAGTCATGAAAATGTAAGTTTGAAATGGACTTCGGGTCCCAACCTTGGGCCCGAACTGTGGCCTGGCGATTGTGGGTGGCTGTGCCAACATAATGAACAGGTATGTTGTGTGCCAAGATCAGGCGAGAGAGATGAAGAAGCTGATTGAGATGGCCTTGAGCCGGAAAAGGTACCACAGCCACTACCACTTGGCTTTGATGGAAGACATTGGAGCTATGGTTTTTATGGCTTTGGTAATTGGAAGACATGGGGGAACTTTGGCGGCTGGAAATCATTGATGAATTTTGGCTACAAAGAAGAAGATAACTACTGTGTTGCTTGGATGACAGTTATGCAAGCATGCTGGGTATTTATAGAACCAGACATTTAAAATTTACAGCACATAGAAAGATGATTTTCGGGGGTTATGGCAATATAAAAAAAAATTTTTAGTGACAGATAACTACATGACGTTATAATCATGGTTTCGTGAAATAGTAAATAAGCTTTCAATGGTGACAGTGATCATTTGCCAGACTTAACTAGAAAAAGATTGAAGATAATAGCCTTTATATGGTTTACAGTGATCGTGTATGCGACCAGGTATGGAATGAGAGCATGTAATTCGGAATAACACAAGTCTGCTGGTACGTTGCTGGTTGCCACTACCTTCTTTAACTTTTTGTTGAAAAGTATTGCTATGGAAAATTACCTGTGAAATTATTGGGAGGTTAGGCGCATGTCCAACATGGATATACAAGTGTGTTGTACGATTGCATTGAATGTAAAAGGAGACCCACCACAGTTAAATTAGTTGTCTCGGCATCAAGAATGATCATATGAAGAAGCATTTTCCATAAATGGAAAGGGGTATAAAGTCCAGAGAAATGAAGAGTTAAGATTTTTGGGGCTGCTAGCAAAACTGGAAATCTTTAGTTTTGGCTATCACCTCACTCCCCGTCATTTGATGCATCATAATTTTAAATTTTTAATGGTGATTTTTACTTTCAATTTGCCTGCAATAAGCCTCAGCACCTTTTACACGTGCCCGTGTCGAACTGTAATTGTAGTTCTCAGAGGTCGCCCTCGTGGAGGAGACAGAGAAAGTTGTATGAAAAGAAAGTTTCACATCTCTCCGATGACTTGTGAGAGCTTTTAAATTTTACTTTATCCCTCTTTTTCCATATTTTTACCCAGCTGGTAAGTATATGTGGTATTGAATCACATGGAAAGCGGCCTTTACACATGTTTATGATCCCTCCCTCACGTGGCATGCCAAAAGCACATCTCACTTGGTTTATTTCATAGTTCTCACTTACTGTATACGATGCATGTCATTCTTTCAAGGGAGGAACGTTATCTTTCCTGGGTCTTTTGCTCGATTCTTCTTGTTAATTTTCTGGTTTCCATATCTAAATTCCCTTCACATTCTCGTTTTTTTATCATATTAGTTCACTGTCATTGCCAAGTACTTAAAAACTCACCATAGCTGATTAGCTAAATGGCAATTCTTCATGACCCAATCATAATTCTTACCTCTGAAGAAATATTTGGATATGCAATATCAGATATCTAGGAAGGGTTTTGGCCGGAGTGATGTATATGATTATCGGATTGTTTTGACAGTGACCAATTGAACAACCCGGCGAGTACTATAGCTGGAGCCAGTTTTATGGCCACAGAGGACCATTTCCTTTATTCATCACTTGTCACTTATCAAAAGATAACCTCATATGAGGGGAAAACTTCGGCAGGTACACTGTGAGAGAGTTTGAAAGACCGGGCAACTACTTGTTGAGCTGAGGTATGTTTTACTCATATATGATATTTAAGAGTATCTATCTACTTTGGTGGTGGGAGTCATATTTAGGGGAGATGGTTTTCCAGATTCCCACGTTCTCCACGTTGTTTTCTCTATTTTTCTTCCCCGATTTAACCTTAATTCATTCATAGTACCAAAAAGACCCCAGTGGAATAGGTCTTGTCCTGCCATCTATTGTGGAGTAGGAAACCCATTCCTATCCACGAAAAGATAAGGCCGAAACATGAAGGCCATGTCTTCCTGAATCAGATAAATTCTTAGAGCTGTAGATTCAATTTCAATTGCCAGCTGCACAAGCAGATATGTATATTCCCTGCATCTCCACGCATTCATTCATTCATTAATACAGCTGCTGGGATAACGATGCAACGATTGCGTCTGGGTCCTGCTAGAAATTAATTCTAAAAGCTAACAGTTCCAATCAGAATTTTCTTCTCTCTCTTGTGGAAACTAAATCCCGGCCCTTCTGGATATGGTTCCAGCATATGGGCCCTTTGCACATCGATTATAATTAATGGGATTGGATAAATCAGCTTACCTGTTTCAATTTTTTTGCTGTTATGATTGATGACATCGTTGAAGGTTTCAATATCTGAGAGCCGTAATCTCATAGCAATGGTTTCTGAATAATGTGAAAAAGAAAAAACAGAAGCTTTGTTACGGTTTAGGTTCCAAAACAAGCCCCATTGTGAAGAGCCTGGAGAAAAGTTTGGGGTGGGGAAAAAGATAAAAGGCAGCTGAGCTGAACGTTGGTGGCAGAAAGGGAAGAACCAATGGATAAACGACAGGTAGCTTCAGGAATGGATCCGTGGTGGAAAGTGGGGCCGACAATGAAAGAACAATGTCTTTTCACACTCCAAAATTTTAGAATTGAAAGCCTTTTACCCATGAACTGTGTGTGGAGTTTCAGATCATCCAAGGGCCTTATCCATGTCACACTGACTCACACTACCTAAATTCTTTTCATTTTGCAGAAACTTATCTTTCAATCATCCTCTCCTTGACTTGATATGTCGAAAAGTTTGTCTGTTTTTTCCTGGCTAAATGATGATATGTTTAAAACTAAATTTAAGTTATCAGATTAAGCCAATGGTGGAGGCATGAAAATTCTTCCATGGGGGGAAGGTTTCAAGTTCAAATCTATGGGGTGTGTGTGTTTATTTATAGTTGTCCCGATAAGAAGAAAAATTATCACACTATAAATTTATTTTTAAAAAAACTTCAAACCGACAGTTGACACGTCAAATTAAGATTGAAGTAAAGCCAACATGCCTTTAAAGCCAATGAAAATGGAAGTATTTGAAATTGTGTTTACGAGCTTAAACCTTGTTTCACGCCAACACAAAAATATCCCAAGCATACACTAAAGTATGGAATTAGATTCTGTAAACTAAAACATAGTTTTAAAAATAATTAAACATATAAAGGAGTTTATTTTGATTTTTAAGAAAATACTTTTAAAAAACACTTTTGATTACAACCAAATATTTTTTCAGCGTAGGCTTTGAGACGGTAGGCTTTTACATTAACTTAAGACGTCACATCAGATCTTTCAATCTGAACTGAAATGTGCTCACTGCTTATTGGTTTCTTCTTTGTTGGCAGAAATAGGTTGTGGAAGGCACATAGTGGGAGTAACCAATGATTGAATCGAACAATTATTGGGCTGAAATTTCATCAGACGACAATTCAACGCCCCATTTCTACCACTACTTCCCTCAACAATATCTGTACCATCTTCAATCTATGACTCTATGGGCACCTTCTCTTTTCTCCTGCTCGGCCTGAGAGCATCGTAAAATGCTTCTCCTATTCTAAATATAAGACCTTTATATATACTAATATAAGAGTGTTGCATTTAGAACAGGAAGCAAACCTTGCTTGCACCAATGATATGAACGTCTTCGGTCTTTTCTTTTGCCTAAAACACTATTTCCTCCTCTCTTTATTATTAACATTTATCAATAACTTTATATACATTAACAAACTTAGTTAGATCCTGTAAAACATTAAATTTATTCTCAATAAAAGTTAATTACTCTAGAAGTTTTATACTTAATTAGAAATATTATAAAAAGTATTAATACTTTCTGCCCATAAAGAAGTCGTTATGGTTATGATAAAGACTACAAGAAGTAATTTCTTTCATGCACAGTCTACCTCACATTAAAAGAATAATATTTAATATTAACTCTGATCTTTAATATAAGATTTAGTTTTGTAGTTTAATTTAAACTATGAATTAGATTTTATGTTGAAGATCAAAGCCAATATTAATTTTAAAACTTTTTTAAAGTGAAAAGTCTTAAACAAAAAATGAAAAAATAATCACACTGTATAACTAAGTAATTACAAAAGAGATGGTGTCGGGACCTTAAAGCTCAATCGACATCAATGGCCTCCTTCAAATCTTTTCAAGCATGAAATTATGAGTTCAAATTCTTTTAATAAAATTACAAAAGGGGGGATAATTAAAATGAATTACCAGTACTAGTAAATGGTGAAAAATGGCAACACAAAGTTGTTAAAAGTATAACAATACAATCCCCATAATACACCGACAACATATACCCCCACTTGCATCATCACCTCGTATTACTTTGCAGCATCCAACGTTGAAGCTTTCCGCGCGTTTATAATTAGCAGTTTTCCAGCCAGCAGGCTCTTTATAGCTCTGTAGTGTTTGTCCACAGGATCCCCAACATGCATTTACAACTCTGATGTGGATTCTGTACATACATTTCTCACTTTGGATTTAGTTCCTTTTTCACCATTACTGGCTATGGATTGTTTTGGGACTTGTAAATATCATTTCTGGTTAACCCCATGATCTAATCTTAAAACAAACGGTTTTGCCGAAGATTTGACGTGTCTACTTAATGAAGAGGCCAACATCAATAAGAAAACCCAAAGAGGATCCCAGCCAACCAGCGTTTAGACCAAAGTTGTGGTGATCAGATAACTACTTATTCAGAATTAACCCAACATCACAATGATATTTTTCAGTGAAAGTCTCACAAATCTTCTCGCATGCTCTGCCATTGGATTGAAGAATAGAATCGTGCTTCCACAAGCTCGATTAGGTGAGTCCGAACCGCAAAGTTTATGCACTTCACCTGTCTTCATTTGCAAGTCTTTTGAGTTATCTTGTCCCTAAACACAAGTCATATAATTATTAATTGTTTTCAATAACACCCCAGTTCAAAAAAATGAAATTCGAAATTTAGAGGTAGTTAAGGTTTAAAATAATGTATAATATTATTAAATAGAGCACATAAATGAAAAAAAAAAATATTCCCAATAAATACGTAGATTTTGCTTCGTCTTTAATCCGTGTTCTCTTTCTTCTGAAGACTTGTAAGTGAAAGAGAGACAACTAGCAAACCCGTGCGTGGTTAAGGCAGGCAGCAAAGAATAAATATTGATGCCCAGACGGTTTCCCGATTGGACAAACATCAACTCTTCACAGCACTAAACTTAATATTTGAATGGTGCCTCGCCCCAAAAATACTCAAATTGGGAGGGTCTGAAAACAATAAATAAATAAAATAAAATAAAATTGCACTTTCATTTTATGTAAAACAGTTCAGTACATCCAAAAAACAACAACGCTGCGATGGCATCTAAATTAGGCTGCTACTGTGTTGCTCTACAATTCAAGGGCTGCAAAGATTCTTGAGATCCTCCTCTTTAGCATACCAGGCTGGTATTATTTTCGAAACATGTGGATAAAGATCCTTGTAGGAGTTCCTGATGGTTCCTTCTGCAACTCCGGTGGCAACTGATATATCTGCCATCAAATCAAATACATTTATAGAAACAGCACGGCCATAAGCTCAGAATGCTGAAGTAAAGATAAAGATGGAAACCGTTTACTATCTAAGTTTAAAACCAATTTGATCCAAAATCAAAAATCTTTCCGTAACGGCATATGAAATTCAACATAGTTTTCATAAACAATGGAGTCCATCAAAGCTTTGTACTAAATGCCTCCATAACTAAACTTCCACTCTAAATAGAATAACGAACCTTTTAGAGGTTTCTTATCGTCTGAAAGTTGAGTTATGATATATATAACAGCCGCAGCAATAGATATGGGGCTCCTCCTGGAAGATCGGAAAGCTCATTAGCATCAGTCATGACATAGTTAAATCTACGAGAAGATAAAATGTCATAAGCCATCTGACTCATTAATACCATTACAAGCACAAACTGCGGAATCTGTCTGCTTGTGAATGCTGGATATGATGGAGTTCGGCTTAATGATGGGAAATATAAAAAGGCAGAAGTGGATCCATTCTATGAACAGTGTGATTTCCAATGTAGCGGTTTATGGGAAATTAATAAACCCACAGTCTCGCTCTTTCTGGCAGTAGCTTCGGTACAAAGTTGATTTGCATGATATACGTGATCTACAAAACGCTAGTCTAAAGCTAACAAGTATGCATTTTATCACGGTAATACAACTTAGATTTTACCTATCACGTTTTACAGACAGCACACATCAAAGTCAGAGCCCAAGATCTAATATATTTCTGACCCATAATCTCCTGCCAAGCCCTGTCCTCAGAGAGCTAAGGGCAAATCCAAAGTTAATTGGCCCAGCCAAAATCAGTATAAAACTCTCATCTTAAAAGTTAATATCCTAATTTCATATTCACACAGAGCAATATTTAGACCTTCTACTTATTGCCAGCTATTTTCCTTGTAGAAGCAGCACTATCTTGGTCAAAGTCAAAATCAGCATCCAGCAATCAGTTTAAATATTACAGCAAAAGTATAGATGTGTAAGCAATAGGACTACATAGTTGTTAGCTTATCACCACTGTTTCAGTAACCGGTAATAAAATATAAATACAAATCCAAATATACCTTATATCGAACTCTTCTGATTTCTGCACTGCTTCTTGAGCAGCTTTAACAGCTTGATTGTTCATACCAAGATTAGAACAAAATCGCCTCTACAGATTATGATGATACCAATATTAGTGATACTAAATTGATAATAAAAATGAAAAAATACGTTTATTAAAGGAATGAAAAACCAATCAATAGATCACAAGATGTGCTTAATTCAATAAAGAAAACTCACCATAAAATCTCCAGCATGTATTGTTCCCATTTCCACTGACTGACCATTCTCCAAACCGAGTTGTTTCACTATGTATTCTTTTGCTCGGCCAATTTCCTTCTTTGTGGCTCCATTGGCAACAGAGCAAATTTCTGGTTGAAATCCATAGGTTCAAGGAAGCTCGTTTACAAAGGGAAGCATAAATTGGGAAGCGCCCAGATGTTAAAAGAATCATAGGATGTACCCTTTACAGTGCGTGGCTTGTCTTCTTGTCGACAAGCAATGTAGAGGCAAGCAGCCAATAATGCATCCTGATTTCTTCCTCTACTAGACTTCTGATCTTCAACCCTCTTATATATCTCATTAGCTCGGTCCTTCAAATCAAAAGCAACATGAGAGGAACAAACATGGTTAGCATTTAGCCATTGTCATCTATGAAAGCATTGTCGAGATACGCTTTCCATTGCGGCAGGGCATAGAAATACCCTGACCAGCACTTAGCAATATCAATTAAAATCTAGCTATGACTAGTTGCCTTATGAAGAACATGTCTGACAGTTTGAAAATAAATATGCCCATACAGTCTTTGGGCCCCAAAAAAAGCCCATGCAGGTTTTATTGTAGAAAGCAAAAATCAGCCAATTTTTCATGTTTCAGATAGTGAAGTTTTATCTTCTACTTTACCACGTCAGCAACCTGAATCAATTTAACGTCAAAGTTCAAATGATGTAAGCCATATTAGAAGTAATATCAGGATTCCAACAATGCTGTACCATAATGGTAACTAGCCTATAATTTGACTACTCCATGAACAGAAGAAATTGAGGGACGGTATAATTTCAGTAAACTCAGCTAAGCTTCCATGCCCAAAGTCAATAGTGACAGTCACATGCAAAGCATAAGGATATGGAGGATCATGAAATTAGTGCTGATATAAAAAGTTGTCCAAAATAATAATATGCCATACCTTAATAGTTGCAACGAGTCCCAACCTAAAAAATTTATCAGCCACCACGTTAGCTGATTATTCACTTATCTCATTTGAAAAATATACCAAATAAATGCAAATTTGGAGAGAAACGAACAGAGAAGTTAAAAGGAGCAGTGTTTTGACATTAGCAGTTTCATACAAGGAATTTATTGAATTAATCACAAAAATTATGAGGAAAAAATGAGAGGATCATTTTTCTTCCTGTTTTTTTTCTTTTACTTCTTCCTGCGGATAAGTAAAGGTGGGATTGTCTTACTACCCAGTATGACTGGTAAACTAGCATTCTTCCAAATATACAAGTTACGGTGTATGCAGCCCTTAGTTTTAGCCTTTATTTACTCCCCCTACCGATCACTAGATGAGACAGACCTCACATTATAGTCCATCATACTGTCAATGCACTAATTGAGAGAGTTAAGAAGCCGATATTTCATACTTCACTCCCAAGATATAAGTGATAAGAAGAAAAAGCTAAAACCACCAATCCATGAAATGGAAGTTGCAGGGACAGATTTGAACATTAGAAAAACCAACACCTGACCCGGGACAGTACAAGATAATAACAACACTTTCTCCATGCAAAATTGTCATGGCAACTACTTTAATCCTAGTTTAAAGGAGTGCATTTCGGGACACCAAGCAGATGTGATCAATACAGAAAAGTTACAATAGGGTTTGGTCAGGATCCAACCCTTACCCTTAAGGGTAATTTTAATCCCAATTTGAAGGCAGGGAATTCCGCACAGAATATCATCTTTGTCAACAAATTTCTTATTAAACAAACAAGTAAAAGAAGGCCAAAATCCACAATTTTCAATAAGAAAGCACAGCTAGCAGGAAATTCATAAATATAAGCAAACCCTAACTAACCTATCAGACATAGTTGCGATGGTTTTAAAAGCCAGAATCAATCCTCGATCCGGGTTCGACCCGCGGTTCTGCCACCTTCCAAGGGATGATGACAGAAACTCGCCAGTTGCTCCGTTGGGCTTGGCTATCACCGTTGACAAGCCACCATCGGCCAGAAGAGGGTTGGTGGGTCCTCCAACACGGACCGGGTCATTATCGCCCGACTCGTTGGCGAAGGTACGCCACTCGGATGTCTCATCAATGGAATGGGACTCGAGAACAAGGCCGCACTCGGAACAAACTGTGTCACCAGCCGAGTGATCGAAAACAACCTCGGTCTGGCGCTTGCAGTCGGAGCAAAACGCATCAGACATGGTTTTCCTCGAAAACAAACAAGATCAGGAAGTCAAATTCAATTCAATTACAGATTTGGAAGTGCCGGTTAGGGTTCCCACGATAACGGGATTGTTAGATTAGCGGGTTGTCGCAATAATTTCCCGCGGATTCTGGCGGTTTAAGGCCGTTTCTACGTCCAGGGTTGTATGAGCTGAAACGGAGAAATTACCGGAGGGGGGCTGGTATTTATGGAAAGAATTTCGTCAAAAATCAAACAGACAAATAAATACTAATAAATAAATAAAATGGTCTTCAGAAGGGCGCGTTGGCGTTAGGAAAGTCACAGAGTTTTCATGTGATGATTTGCTGAGTTGGGCCAATGAGAGTGTTTGGGCTTACGGATTAGGAGCTGACATTGTTCTTGTTTTTGCTTGGCATGTGTTTCGCGTGTTATTCTTATTCCTATGCGATTAGTTTTCCAGCGAGGCGGCCGTAGACATACTAGATGATGTAATTTAAGATTTTTTTAAAAAAAAAAAACAGTTAATTTTTTTAATTGCGTAAGAAGTAAGGGGTTGCAAATAAGAAAAATAATTACAATGAAGCGTGATGTTTGATTGCAAATCTAAGTCATCTTGGCTGGCAATTTGATTAGGAAATCAGCTTTTGAAGAGACTGGTCACACTCAATAACATCGTTTTTAAAAGTGTTTATTTGACAATTTTGGGAGAATATCGTAAACAGGTTACTGGGTAATTAATGTTTGATCGTTACGACTGGCAAGGGAGGAGGGATTTTACTCCCTTCTCCTCATTCGACGTGCAAAAAATAATAACAAGAGGTGAATTTACTTTTCATACAAAATACGAGGACTTTTTTCCCCCAACTCCAAAATATAAGGACTCGAAGTTATGATTAACATTACTTCTCTTGCCTCCACTGGATAAAATTTTATGTTTTGATGGGACGGACTCATAAGCACCGCGTTGAATTAAAAAGAGTTACTGTTTTTAATTAAGTTGTATTATTCACTGGGCCTACATCTTTGGGCAGTGCGAGACCGTTAACTTGTGAGATTCATAAACAAGCAGGGATCAGGCCCGTTACTATGCTCAGGCCTGAGAAAGAGTGTCATTTAAGAGGCGCCTGTTAGTTTCCCCAAAACCTCTCGCAATTTGGACGTTGACAGTTCAAATTAAGGGGGTGTTTGGATGAAACCAAACCATGGTTTCAGAAGTGCTTTTACGGATTACGAAGTAAATATGTGGAGGAGATTACTCGTTTTGCGAAAATGCTTCTGAAACCATGGTTTGGGTTTCCCAAACACCCCCTAATGCGGGCTTCCCATTTCGAGTTTATCTTCACCTCGTCAGGCGCAAAGGACTGATCACTCCCAATATAACAAACTAAAATTCAAGACATATATTTAGCAAAAAAGAAATATTCGCTCCAAATCTTCCTTCCTCATCGTGTTTTCGTACTGTTACTATTCAAAGTCACAGCCAAAACAATTTAAAGGGTGTTTAGATGAAACTAAATCATGGTTTAGAAAATAACTTCTGGAGAATAGATTCTTGGAGGAATAAATTTTGTAAGGAATAGATTTTGTGGAAAAGTGATTCTAATAAAATAAGAGTGTTTAGAGAATTGTTATCAGGAGCACTTTTTATATATATATATATATATAAAAATTACTAAAAAAGACAAGTTAATATGATAATTACATAAAATATAGATTTTATAATATATTTTAATTTGAAAGAATAAAATTGTTAATAATATATTTTTTACCAACATAATTAATAATACATAGGATATTATAATTAATAATTAATTAATATGTGTATATATATTTATAAGATATAAAATTAAATATGTTTATAAAAAAATAATTGAGGGGTGTGAAAGTTATATTATTGTTGAGATCTATTCTTACAGGCACAATCATACTATTCAATTTGAACTATAAGCAAAATGAATTCACTTCTCCTGAAACCATGGTTTTAGCCCAAACTGTGGTTTCAGATTATTTCTCTCTGTTTGCCTCACTCTTTCCCCAAACTATGGTTTGGGTGGCTTGGGACGATATCCAAACACCCCCTTTAGTATGATTCTTCCTCTTGACAGGCCCAAGCTTCTTAATTCCCTTCTCCCTTTGTTTTGTCACATGGGACCTTCTTTAATCTTTGATACACGCGGATAAGCATTTTTGGTTTTTTATTTTTAACGCATGGCTGTGTTATGCATAAGAATTAAGAAAGCACAAAAGGAGAATACATTACCCACGTAATAGTGGGTCACTGGATTCGAGTAATCGAAGATTACCAACGTGAGGAGAAGGGCTATGATGATACCTGATTTGAGAAGGTTCGGAACGCATAAATAAAAAAACAAAAATATATTGTCATTTGCTTTTTAAATATAGTTATTTTCTTTACGAGTATAGTAATATATACTAATTTGAAGTTTTAAAATTTAACAGTAATTTTTTTGAGATTTTTCCTATTAAATATTGAGAAGTGATACAAAAATGGTAGAATATATTTGTATGCGTGGCATGGTATAATTAAATTAAAATAGGCAGTCAGGGGATGGTCAGAGAAGAATGATCGTGAAAAAATGTAGTATGGGCGTGCGGTGCAGTTAGGGGATCGTTTTCGCTGGGGTTAGGAATTCACAATCAAATCGTTAGCTGGGCTCGCGTGTTTTATTATAAACAAAGACGGTTGCTGGGAATACCAGCAGGCAGGGAATGAACGAGTCATTTTAATTTAATTAAAACGAGAGACTAACACTGTTTTTGCGAAATAAAATAAGCCTGCCATTCATATTAATAGCAAGGGCGATATAAGCACAATCATTGGATATATATATATACCCACTCATCCATTTTTTAATATAAAACATACTTAACTAATTTAATTATATTAAAAAAACTATATAAGTCGCTTAAGTAATTATAAAAAACATGACATGTTTTTTTCTAAAACACCATAATCATCTTTCTTATTATGGTAACGGAGAATCAATTTGAATAATTTAAAAAAAATTGATAAATATAAAAAATAAGTATTACATTTTTAAAAAATAAGCTTAATAATAAGATGTTACATTAAAAATATAAAGAGTATAATAACTTAGCTGTGCATATTATCAAATTGTCAAAAAGCCGGAGGAGGAACCTTTCTTCCCCAATCCGGCAATCCCCCAGTCCCCGTTTGTCCTGTCTAGTTGTTTTGACTGGCTTATCATCACTCCAGAGTCCAGAACTCGGAAATATATAAGAGAAAAACTCCAAAAATATAACCTCATAGGAGGTAAATTATATTACATCCGATTCTTAATATAAAATCTTATTAAATTTTTATTTTGATTCTAAATACAAGATTTCAATTTACTTTGTTTTTTATATTTATGTTTTTTTTAAAGTAGTTATTCCAACAATAATAGTTCTAACCAATATAATCGATTAGTAAAAATATTTTAAAAAATGCAACACCTACTTATTATAAATAACTAATTTAATTTTTTTTATCTTCTCAAATTATTCAATTAGTTTTATAATTAAGATAAAAATACTAGTAAATTAAAGTAATACAAATGGGATTCAGCTCGTGACTTGTCACTCACACGAAGACTTATATCCACTAAATTATTTGGTAGGCATGAGATAATAGGAAGGAGGAATGGTGCCCTCCATTGGTGTCCCCTCCAGATGATCAGAGATTTCAGATTTCAGAGCTCACCATTGCCTCAAATCACCTGACAACGCTCACGTGCTTTGCTCTCTGTCTCTGCATCAAATCTAATCACCTATTTTTTCATACGCAGTATTTGAAGAATAAGTCCTACTCATATTTATTACCCACAAATAAATATTGATATTTTATATTGACATTTATAATACCAATTTTAATGATGTTCGAGTGCTGTGTATGAGTGTATCTGCTAAGTCACCACAAAGTGGCTGTTGCAGTGAACTACAATGAATTACAGTATGTGACAAAAAGAACAGTTAATTTACTGCCATTTTTAACTCACATGTTAAATTCATCTCTTAAATATGGATAGCATTACGTTTATTTTAAAAATTTTCCCCCCTTCATCTGATCTAGAGATCCCCTGTACATATCATAACCTGTAGCAAGCCACCTGCTGGGGCGGTTGGCCCGGTGAAAAAATATAAAGCCGAACCCACCGTATGACAGGGCAGGGGGGGCATTCAAAAAATTGACAGAGATTAAGTTACCACCATAAATTCCTTTAATTAATAATTTAATTGATGAGTAGGAGCAATTATTTTTCCTTATAAATATGCCGCGAAACTGCAAATAGCCAAGCATGTCATGACTTACTATTGAAGTTGCCGTTTTTGTTTCTATCTTGAGGATAAACTGTACAGCACAAACGTGACAAGGTAGTGCCCGTTTTTAATTGGCGCCGATGGTGTTAATTCTCCGATCCTCCAGGCTCCAGCTTTGTTAAAAGAAATATTTGAAAGGACGCTTTGTCCATAATTATAGGGATATTTAGGTGAAAATAAAATCATAATTTTGAAGTATTTTCATGGTGTATAAAGTAAAACACTCTTATACCAAACAAAAGAACACTACCAAAAGGTTAACTACCGGAATTCCCCTCTGGGAATTTTAACCTATCTTGAATTTTATTACAGCTTTGTTTTTTACACAATTATTCTGCTCCTTTAACTCTTTCTGTTATTGTTCGATTTATACACTAAGCCACTCTCTAATAAAATTCAAGTATGGCAACAGACATGGGGAGGAACCATTGCTGAGATTCCCCCTCTATCGTTCACATTTTATAATTTTTCCACTCCAGACTCATTTCAGTGTGAATAGGATACGGATATAATATAAAAAGATAATAGTTATATCAAGTCTTTCATACTACCTCCGGTTCTTAATATAATACCCTATTTGACTTTTATTTTGGTCCTAAATATAAGACCCCAATCCACTTTGTCTCTCATATTTATACATTTTTTCCAAAGTAGCCCTTCTAATAATAAGAGTTCTAGTCAATACATTTGATTAGTAAGGATATTTTAGGAAAGATAACACCTATTTAGAACAAATAACTAACTTAATTTATTTTCTTAATCTTTTCAAATTAGTCA